CATAGAACTAGTGTTCACTGGATTACATCAGAATATACCAGTTCGAAAATTTATATTCTGCATCGAAAGGAATTCCGCGCAAAATACATAATTTTAGGTTTTGGAAAACATTATGTGTCTAACGAAAAAGATATTGAAGAATTAATAAATTGCAGCCACTAATTTATTAAATTCGCCAAGAATTTAATTATTTATTTAATTTCTGTAAGGAACTACTACTACATAATAGAATTATTCCTTTTATCGATGAAGCAAACAAAAAAACATAATAGTACTAAAGTATATGTAGAAGTACTACAAAAAAAATTAATTAAAAAAAACTTACCTCAAAAAATTTTATTCTCTGTCAAGACGTATCATAATGGTCCAATATGAACGAATAGTCCTTCACCTGAAAATAAAAATGAGATTTCAATTACTAAATGTGGTTGTATGATCACATAAAAGATTTATGATTACATGCAAAAACTCAAATACTAAATTGTTTTTGTGATAACATGATATTATTAGCTATAATATGAAGAAAGGTTTACATCAATAAAATGCCTTTCAAGCTTTAGCAGTATCAAATAAATTGCATTGGATTGGTAGACCAGTACATGCCAGTAAATAGGAAAATTTAGTACAGGATTTCCAAAAATACTTATAGTATATCTTAATTGATAAATTAAGTCTTATTAAAAATCTAACTTTTATTTACTGAATGAACTATTTTTTATTGTTGTTCTTGTTAAGAAATGCTAAAATTAAATTATTTTTTGTGTTGTTAGATATTCCATCATTTATTTGAAAGGCAAATTTAAAACTTTTTTAGAAAAATTAAAAAAAAATTATTTACAATTTCTAAGATAAAATATATGCACAAAACAAAGCAAACTTCAGCAGCAATTAATACTAGTTACCTTGTATTAGATTTTAACAAAGTTGAATTTATGATTTGAAATGCATACATTTTTATTACAATTGCAGCAAAAATCAAAACATATACTATTCACAAATTTATTTTTTTGTGATGAAAGTTTTAATTTTTGGATTATGCAATTACTAGCATATGTTGCACGAGGCAAACTTTCAAAAAGTGTCTTGTTTACATTCAGAATCAAGAACGTGCGTAAGAGATGATCAATCTGTGTTACGCATTATTAATTGAAATGATAAGATTATTTTAATTAACTATGCAAATTAAAACGCTATTGTAATAAATTTCCAATTGTTACACAATAGTGGAAAAATATAATCAAGGACATAATTGATATATTTTATTATTTTCTAACAATCATTGCTGTAATAAATCAATGCAATTTTATCAGTATGGTTAATTTTTTTAAGTATATTATCGTCACAACAACCTATAAGATCCTTTAAGTTCAGATCTCTGTTCAAATCATATATATCTAAAAAAGTAGGTTAAATCAAAACAATGCAAATTTAGAAACAATGTTGCACAATTAAGATTTTTAATAATAATAATGATAATTTAGTCAAAGGGCCCATTCCTTAATGAAGATGATATTTATTTCAGCTGAAGCAATTAATCACAAAATTATAGTTCGATTTTTTCTTTATTTCGAACTCTAAAAGATAACATGTTTCGAAAATTAATATTAGTATATAATGGTCAAATATTTTGTCCTCAAATATAATTTTTATGCCAAAATTGGCTTCAGAGCCTTGAGGTCTATAAATGCCAAGGTTCAATGCCTTGATTTACAGACGGATAAACGGACATACATCATAAAACAGTCTCAAAACAATCGTAAATTATTTATATAATATCTGTATTAAATCGCAGAATGTACATAATGTTGAAGTTCCTGACTGAAATAAAATCAGATTCCAGACGGAAGAGTATTACTCATGAAAATAGTCATTTTGAAATGAGAGTATGCAAATTTCAATTTGAGAAACAGTCGATTAAGACGATTCTCATATAGGGCTATTTTGACTTGATCACAATTCAATTTTAATCTATAGTGTTAATGAATTCTAGATATCGTTTTGTCTGAAACGCCTGTTTAAACCAGGAACTTCTGGAACTTACCACAGCACTACAAATTCCCTAAATCATTTTGTAATAAATAATTAACCATATAACCATATTAATACTAAAATGGGATTGATCTACAAACGATCTGATGCTTCAAAAAATTTTTGTAATTTAATTCTGTGGAAAAGTAAAGAATGGTTTTAAAAATCATCGCATCAAATTAATCCGAGTCCAATTTAACTATATTACATTTAGAGATTCAATTAGAGATTTAAGCATCGTTGGATCCAACAATTGACCATCAACAATATTGCCCGAGTATATGAACAGTTATTTATATAAAGGTTAAACTGCGGCATCATTGGCAGCTGGCGGAATCTATATGTTCATGAAACCCTTATGTAACCAATATCCAAAAATTAGATTTTAATAAGTATAATTATCCTTGAAAATCGTCATGGATAGCTAAAAGCAGGAAAATACACATTTGACGCATGTGTTATGTTAATTTTCAAGAATAACGAGTACAAGATATAATAACGTGCATTAACATATTCATGCACTAAAGTATTAAACTATTATAAACTATTCTTATTAAATTATTTTTGATTATAAAGAAATGCGCATTTGTTATTGAATTAATAATATCTGATCAAGTAAACAACAACAATTTCAATAAGTGGACAATTTAATCTAAAATGGCGCATAACACGAGAGAAAACACAGCAGATAAAAAACAAAAGCATCAGTTTAATTTATCATAGGAGTAAACATGAAAAATTAATATGACATACTTACCATTTCACTAATTTATTTATAGGAATCTAAGTTTATATTAATCTCACTTTCACTCACTAGCATACACTATAAAACATTACTACCTTTAGTTCGCCCTTGACCAGCACTTACGCAACTAAAATTATGATGACTCCTTGCTACCAAAATTTACCAACATTGAAAACCAGAAAACACAATGTAAAAACATAGTATAACAACTCGACAAATATTTAGATTGTATCGATTTATCGGTAGTTGTTATCTAGTTCAAAGAGATCCAAACCTTTTAGATGGGTTTTATAACAGAAAATTATTTAAAATTAGGTAGATGACATAGGGCTCACATGTAGGTAGGTGGCTAAATCGACTCCACCTAAATCAGAGGTCCCGGGCCGATTCCACTTCGAAGAGCCTGATGTCAAGCAGTAGTGGCATCGTTTTTAACTTGGAAATACAGATAACAATATAATTCCAAGTGACAATAGCCCTCTATCCGACATTGCTGCATCAATAAATATTCGTCCTTTTACAATTTTAATAATAAAATGTATCACCCAGAGATGTGATAACTGCCTATGTTGCCATCTGTAAAACCGACGTAGTTTTATGTCAATGAGAAAAAGAGCTTGAAGGGCTATTAATTGCAGTTCAAAACAATAAAAAATGATTGGTGACATGTATCTACTGTAAAATGAATAAACTTGAATTGAATAAATCGTATAACTATTGTATTGAATTATATTTATTGTAATAAATGTAAATAAAGTACCAAAGACAAACAAACTTTTTACATTTAATTTTGTGGTCATTTGGATCATCATCATGTTATCTTAAGGGGGCGTCTATTAATCACGTGATCGTTTTTTTTTTTAGGAATTTTTAGACCGCCCCTCCTCTTTGGTGATACCTTGTGATATTTAAAATTGCCCGCCTTTCTCGACAAACATCACATGTATTTTTAGTTAGGTAAAAATCGTATTATTTCACTTTTTTTTAATTTAGGTAAAAAATAAATACTCGTAATATCTTACAAGTCCTCGCCCTCCCCCACGTGATTTTTTGTGATTTCCTCAAAGTCTCACGTGATTCGTATATCAATCACTCCCTAAACTGTATATAACTTATTTACTTTAAAAAGGTATATTGCTACAAAAATTAGAAAATTTACAGCAAGAGGTAAAAGAAACCATACAACGACAACCAATATATATAATGCAATTACATGTGAGAGCCCAATGTTGAGATCTTAGATTAACATTTACTTGTTCCGCGTTTGTACTTAGTTCGGCCAGCTTGATATCAAACAGTAGTAATATTAGAGTTTTATTTAAGAGTAAAGTTTCCATTCGGATATTATGCGGTCAAAGTTTTTCTTGCCACATATCTTTAGATCAAAGCCCTAATAAAGAAAATTCATCAGATAGAAATTTGTCAGCCGCTGGGTTGTATTCTAATTAACACTAGGTAAGACCTGACAGTACAACGAGTACAACCAATCATACAATATATATAATTCCGATTTATTAGACTATTTACGTACTCGATTATACCAAAATCATGCTCATATAATTTGGATATCGTAATGGAAAAAAAACCTTTTTAGTTTTATCATTACGCAAAATTTTATAAAAGAAAAGATATAATTTTTCAAGAAAAGCGCAACTATTTCATCCAATATCAGTGGAAAAAAAACCTTTTTAGTAATATCATTACGCAAAATTTTATAAAAGAAAAAGATATAATTTTTAAAGAAAAGAGCAATTATTTCATCCAATATCAGTGGCTCAGTAATAAAATTCATCACACAGAGGGGAGATAGCTGTTTGACTTACCACCTGTAAAACCTACATACAGCTAACATATATAACTTTTTAATACTTATTTTTTTAACTTAATTAACACTTGGCAGGTTATTTCAAATGCATTTTTTTAATTAAAAAACCGATAAATCAGATTCAATGCAAAAAAAAACTACGAATACTAACATATTCTGTTTGTGGAAAGATAGGGACTTAATATCACTTAAAGAGTAAGTAAAATCGATTTGTTTTTTAATTTGAATACGAAGAAATTAATAAATATTGGTTCTCGAAATTGTAAATAATTAGAAGTAATAATAATAAATTCATAAATGGACGCTACTGATAGTTCCTGATCGGCAAGTTCTGATCGAATGTCGTAGTGGGAGAATATAAACGGAGAGCGATCGAGCGTTTAGCACAGTTTGTTTGCAACACTGAAAGTGTAGCGACTTAGCGCGAAATTTAAAGCAAATAGTCTTAATTGAATAATTTTTATTTTAAAGTTTAATTTATATTGTATGTGTCAATGAATAGGGAAACTTTGGGATTTCTTAGAACCAATTACAACCCCTGGTAAGTACAAAAAAACTATACTTTTTGTATATTTTGATACTGCTTTCTAATAAAAATTCAATCCAGTTAGCCAATCATCGCAAATGTTGTTTGTCGTTTCACAAATATCACTTTTATGAAAGATATGTATATGCATATAAAACCTGTGTTTCGAATGTATTTGTAAAATTCTTTACACATGGACGCTTTTATTGTAGTATATGTTCAAAACTGGATTTGATATATAAATAGGGAATTTGTTATGCGACTGCGTAAATAAATATGTGGAAATTTGATGCATTTTATATAAAATTAAAATGTTTTTGATATTTGGCTTTGAATTACAATTTTCATTCACATATAAAAATCTAAATAATTTGTCTAATTTATGGTCTTATTACATAAACGTGTAATTATATTTAATGATTCGACATATGTTCGACATGAATAGACCCAATTTATAATATTTATGAATTATAATATTTTTTAACCAATTATTATTATTATATTATTAGTTATTATTTATAACGATACAAAAATAAGTACTATTCAAAGTGATTAGAAAATTAATAAACAAAACTGCTAACAAATATGCAAAATTGTGATCGTTCACACTAGCGTCCTTTTAAAAAAAAATATTGCTATTAATTACAACATGAGCTCTAAATCAAATTATTATTATTATTATTATATTAAATTTTTATTACAGTTTGTCTAAAAGTCAATGCACCCGCCGAAAACACTGTAAAGGAAACACAGGCAACCACCTCGAAATCTACGTCCTCACACACATCCAGCACGTTCCATAGCTTGATAAATTCTGAAAAACGGTCTGAAATTTAACTAACGACGACCCGGATACCTGAATTGATTTAGACAGCACTGGTACATAATAAATCGTGATAAAATTAATTCAAAGTAGCACCCAAAAACCACCGAACTTTGCACGAAATTACGTTTTGTTCTCAAAAAAGAAAAAGGAAATAAATCAAGATGGTCCAAGGCGAGAAATACCTGGCAACCAAGTCCTTGTCTATTGACAACTCTCACAAGAAGAGTGGATTCGACGCTGTGCAAAAACGCGAGGAGGAGAAAAGGCAGCAGGCCAGGAAGGAGCAGGAGCAGAAAGCTAAATATGGAGCCTGGGGTCCTGTTTTCAAAGACAGGGAAACTTTTGCCAGCATGCACTTCTGTTGAAAACATAAAATTTTATATGGAATAATAAATTTGTTTTATAAAATACTAGCATACTAACAAAAGGTAAATTGTGGATTTCAATATGTTATTTTAATTAATATCTTCAAATAATGGATTTATCTAATATTTCTTTGATTCAATTGTGCGAAGTTGTTATCTCAAATATAAAGTTATATGTAATGTATAATAAAACATATTATTAAAAACTGGAAGTATTTTTATAAGAATCTATTATAAAAATCTGAACTAATTCTAGTGAACTCTGAACTATAAAAATCTAACTGCATTGCAAACGTAATGTATTATTCATATTATACAGAAAATATAATATATTCAGAATACTTTATAATAATTAGTCGAATCATAAAATATAAAACTGGTTATCCTCAAACAAATGTACAAAGTCGAATACTACTGGTCAGGAAACGTGGTTTTGTTAGCATCACATATTTCTTTATCTGATTTCATATTACGTATACTTTATAGAAATGATATTATTATTATATAATTTAAAAAAATATAAACCATGCCCAAAAATAATGCCAATCTTGTTTTTGCAGGACTAACATGATACTACCTTGGACCTAAATACAATACTCATATAAATTGGAACAAAACAGAGATGGCAACGCTTTAATGTACTAATAATAACTAATATCTAATAAATTATCCTTTAATCATAAAATATGTCTTTATTCAAAGTTTTATCGAAACAATTAATGGTCTAATTTGTTATAGATCTTATGCGAATATACGTATTATAATTATCTTTACATTGGCATAAATGCGAGAGTTCATGCATAACTAAAATGTATAAATGGTTATTCAAAATTTTTGGTACTTTATTTAAAGTTGCAAAATATAATCTATCTGGGAGAGCAGATCGATAATATTCAGCATTTTATTTCTAATATTGACCAAACCGGTGTTTTAAAATATGAATTTATATCTAAATATCCGTATATATTGATCTAAACTATAAAACTATAAAATCTACAGTGCAGTGTATCAGCTATATAAATTATCTTTAAATATACACTTAAATACTGACATATTATGGCACAAAAGGTTTTATAATTGCTTTTTCTTTTTTTGTTTTTCTCTTGTGATATAGAAATTCAGCAGATATCACAAAACCAGCTAGTAAAAATCCTGCAATAATAAAAATTGTAGAATATACAGCAGGTAATAAATTAATAAATTTTATAATACTCGTATATATTCAAGAACAGAAACATAAGCTTTTGAATTGAGAGGTAATAATTTTAATTTCTATTATTTATGAGGTATTGTAGAATCTATACTGGAAACGCGAACAGATATATTTAAATAAACCTATTTTTATTTTACTCCATAATTATTACTAAAGTCTTACCAAGAAAAAGTACAAAAAATGAGCCCTGCATATCGTCCATGTTAACAGTATGATTTTGGACCTCTGATGATTTACCACTATTCCAGCAACGGTCCTTCTTTGGGAGGTAAGAAGCAAGCCATTTCTGTATCAGCCCCATCTGGTGCATCCTTTTCAATCTTTTAAATAAAAATATGGCAATTGTCAAGAAAATAAGATGTCGATGACCAATTTCTCCTAAATCTACATACTTAAAGCCAAAAACTTTCAATACAATGAGAGTGAAATAACTTAATGGTATTTGTACAGCATATTGTCAAATTCAACGAAAATACTTTGAGAATCCTTTGTCGGTATGCACCAATCGTATTTAAATCTGTATAATTATTATATTAGTTAATGCAAATCAAATCAACTCACGCTTCAGATATATAGAGGTATCAATGATATTTATAATTTATATTAGCCAAGATAAAACTACAAGTCATGCATAACATTCTTAATAAAAAAAAATGTTTTTATTAAACTTACTCTTGGTTTATTACTGGAAGATATGGACTATCTTTGTTTATAAGCATACCTATCCGCTCATCTATAAATTCTTCAGACGCTAAAACAAAAATGCATCGGTTGACAATATATTTAAAAAAACGCGCCATATAAGATAATATATTACATAAAGCAAAGTCGCAACCATCGGTTTGAAGAAATTCTTTTTTCATTATGTATTGCAAATTTATCTTCCAATCAACAAATACATGTTTTCCTTGACGGACCATCTCAATCATGTCCTCATTTTCAGAATCAGCAAACTGAGCATCGCGCCGTAGATCTGTATATTTTTGTTGATCTGTTGTCTAAAATTTATGGTAATTTTTTTGTGTCGCACCAGATTTTATAAATAATAAATATTACAGGTAGAAATTAATTTCTTACCTTGAGGTGATATTCTAAGTATGTGCCTTTTCTAATCGTCCACGATACGGTTTCTTTGTTTATTATCAATTGTTCCACCGACGTGATGGCAATATCAATTTTAGGAAACGTTAAAAATGCAACAAGATTACCACAATAAGTTGTAATTACTACTAACACCACCAGCCACCATGTACCAATAATAAGTCTTGCGCTGTCTGCTTCGGGAAGGTGCATACCACCTGAGAACAAATAATATAAAATTTAATTTCATAATATGAATTATCAGTATATTAATATGTTATGTATTAAACCTTGTTGAAGTAGAGCGCCATACATATACCACAAACAATTTTGCATGGATTTTAATCCTCCTTGTCTAGCTACTCCATAATATTCATAAAATGGACTAAATCTATGCATTATATACAATAAGGGTCCCATTACTATAACGGAGAATCCAAGACACAGCCACGTCTGTAAATGGAAATATATCAAATATAAATGTTGAAGATCCAATGACTTCATGTATTATAAACTATATAATATATAGTGAATAATTTAAATAATATGATAAGCTCAGTGAAGATCGAAAAATATTTTGAAAGACTATGCTAATATGTCTAAGATTTTTAAGTACTATTATTAATTTTACAAAAATATATTAATACAAGTTTGATTTAATAAAATCATATATTTATATATATATATATATATATATATATCACTTCTTACATCATATGTAAATGGAAGCATAAAGAGCAGCGCCCTGGATAACTCTCCTGGTCTAGACACTAAAAATGAGTAAGGTTGCACACTAATTGGCATGGTGAAATTGACACCCATTGCCTTTTTCTTTTCATCAATTGTTGTAGCTGCTGCTCCCAATAAAACCCTATTTGATTTCACGACCTTCAGTAGGCTTGGTGGGAGTTGGTAGGTTGGGAATTCTTGCGGCAGACCGAGGGCTGAAGTGGCATTAGTAACCTACATAAAAGAAAAAATAAAGTTATTGTTTACGTTAATTTAAGAATTCAGAGTTATTTATTGAGAAACGTTGAACATTTCCATGAGCGTTTACATTTGCATGTGCTTCTTTAGGCCCAAATTGTTTATCTTTATCTTTGTCTTTAGTGTCGTTCTTTTTATCAACTGGAACAATCGTAACACTGTAACTAAAAATTGAAAACAAATTTAGAAAAATATTTATATTTTATATTTTTTTGGTTTATACCAACCTAAAATTTAAATTAATCGACAATTGATCCATTATATCAAACACAACACCTTTATATTGTGCAGGTACTCCAGATTCATTATATGCTATTATTTGCCATGGCGGGTTCTAAAAAAAGTTGATTATTAATATTTTTGAAACAAATAATATACTGGATATTTTGACTTTAAAGTTTGAATGTTTTATTTATTACTCACGTGATATGTGACAATAGGCATTACTTTTCCCCGAAAACCATTCATTATATGAGGAAATAAGTAGTCAGTCATTGATAAGCCATCGGTAGGTCGCCAAAATCCTGCCTGTATTAATTGAATGTTTCAAAATATAAAAATACAAAAAATATGTAGTTATTAGGTATAAAATGCAATAAGTCATTATAAAAAAAATATAATACTAATTACGTTCATAAGAGAATCAGAGACTTCGGTATCATCTAAAATGTAAGCTCGACCCCATGTTTCCGATGACCGGAGCATCCACCTGGTGCAGTTTCCACATTCACTCTTTTGTTTAATAAATTTCTAAAATAAGTCAATCAATCATCAAGAATCGATGGCACATAAATATTGCACTAAACGTATCATTTAAACTTAGGGATTATTGTAAAATTGTTAAATTTGCAGGTATTTTAGATTTGCTTCCAAACTATGAAATTATTATTGGAAGTAATTACCTTCATATGTTTAAGAAGAGCATCTCTTCTTTCGCGTCTGTTGGGCCTAATTGATTCCCATTCTTCGTCTGATACCTGGTTATACAATTCTCGTTCTTCAGCAATGCATTTATCCAAAGCATGAATAAATCCACGAAAATATTCACGCATATAACATTCTCTACCCATCTGTATAAACAATATATTTTGAATATAAATGATTAAACATTTGTTATAAATACGGTATTAGTCAGTATTTATGAGACAATTGATAATATGCAATTAACCCTCCGTCGGTCGGCGTGATCTGGCCAGACTGTTTTCGACTTCAATTAAAAAAAATACTTCTAGTAATCCTATCGACTTGAAATTTCTTGACTTTTTCTAAAATTTCATTATCTGTCGATCAATGAAAAAATCAGGACGAAAAAATGCACAGAAGGATAATTATAAGGATATTAACTTTTTTATACTTCGAACGGTCGGAAAGGTCTGTCTAGACTACTCATAAATTTTGTATGAAATATACGCTTTTTGATATATGTAAACCAGTATTTTGTCTTTTTTCATGGTATTTTCTATTCAAACTGCGTTGTATATATTCTTTGCTATGTGTTGTAACATGAATGTTAGTATTTTCATGACTAGAGTTCCTTGAAAACCTACCAAACTTATTGGTAATCGCAAACACTGAAAATTGGATGATTAATGCACACATTATCAAAAATTTTTCTACCCGTACTACATTCGAATTTTTTTTTGGCAAACCTGTAGTGAAATTATATTTTCACTTTGAGTTTTACAGCTCAATTCAAAGACGACGCACCTCATTTTGTTTTCATTTGAATTTCACACTCATTTCAAGGCGCCGAAAAAGAATAAATATTGTTTTTCATTGATATAAAACAGAAAAATTGACAAAAAAGCAACGATTTTTTTATATTTCCTGATTTTTTTTATATAATATAATATGTAATATTTTTATTATAAGCAAGCTCAACACATGCAAAAGACGGTAAGAAAAAGAAAAAATCAAAACTATAAATATTTACTACTAATAATCGTTAATATATAAGACACCAAAAACTCATTTATCCCATATAAATGCATGTAAAATGAATGGTGGTCCAGCCAGACCTTTTCGACCGTTCGAATGTGAAAAAATATCCGACCGACGGAGGGTTAAAGTAAAATAAAATTAATGTGAAAAAATTAAATTAAAAAATGATTAACTTAAAATTCACCAAGAAATAAAATTGTTGTGTACCGGAAAGCTCCAGCCTTCACCGTTAAGAGTAATGATGAAGAAAGACAATCTAAGCAATACAATAAATGTCGCTGTGATTTTAAATAATTTAGTATATTCTAACCTGACATTCTTGTCTGGAAGGTCTGCTAAAATTACTAACAAAAGCAATATTAAAACCCTCTCCTATACGTTTGCTGAACTTCAAAACAGGATCGCGAATGGCATCACTATCTGCAACAACGTACAACCATTGCGTCAAAGTATTAACAATTCTCAACTCTGCAGCAATATCCATAAATGATTCCAATTGCTGACGACCAATAATCACCAGAAAAGTCTTTCCTAAAAATTAAAAAAAAGTAATTATCAGTTTTTTATTTTTTTTCTGGTGGAATATATGGCATACCGATACGCCCCATTGGCAGATTGGCTAATAGTTCAATTATAGCCTCTCTGCGTTCTTTTTCATGTTTTTCAGCCCTCATAGTAAAAATAGAAACTGCGGTAGGAGCAGTAGTTTCATCAGGTAATTCAGATGATAAAGCTGTTACTACACGGCTTACCATATCACGATCTAAATAAAATTAAAGTACATTAAAATCAATTAATCATTCTTGTTTCAATTATTATATTGCTTACTTAAAGTATCATCATGTATTATATTTGCAGACTTCCAGTCAAGACCTTTTCCACTTCGCATATCTAGAAGAATCTGTGCCATCTCAAATCCAGGCTCCAACAAGGGTACTGATAATACACCAAAATCACCTGTACAAAATGATGTATGATTAGATATTTGTAAATTATTAACAGAGTTTATTATACTGATATTATATAATTATTTATAACCTGGAGGTCTGGCACAATCTGCATCTGTTATCGCCATAACTAAAATTTCTTCTTCTGCTGCAGCAGCATGCAAGAGTTTAGTATTATGGCAGTTGGCCATGCTAAGTATAGCTGTGAAACCTTTTATACAAAATAATGTAATTAATAAAAAAATCTTTCACAATTAGTAAAGTAATTCAGAATTAATTACAGGAAGAAGTATAAATTATGACGATTATGAACTTACAAAATGATTTATTAAAATATTAGTAAAAGACTAATACTAGTTGATGATTTACAACTGCACTATCTTTACATGCACATTTATAAATAATCATTAGCAAGTCCCATGGACATTTTAGTGAATTTTAAAAATATACAGAAATACAAAGCTCAAAGAAACGAGTTCATGCAATCTAAACCTGACCTTGGAACCTTGAATGCGCTATCTAGGTTTTCAGGTTACTACCCTTACATATTTAATCACCCCCAGTAGTAGTAGTATAGTAACATCATGAAACACAATAAACTTCAATCGAGAAGCCTTTACAGTTCAATTGATAAAGCAATGAAATTCTAACTTGATTTTAAAATGAAATAAATATATTGACTGTTTAAAACTGAAAATAAACCGGTATTTATAAATTTATTCTATATAATTTATCTATTTGCTCCGAAATTAAGAAATAATTTATATGAAAAAAACAATTTGTATACCTCTTTTCAAGTTAATGTTACTCCAAGAAAAATATTGAATATTTAATCCGCCGTTTTTCATTTCTTCTCTCAATACTTGTTCCGCAATAGCTTTCATTGTAGATAAAATATCTTCATATGAGTCTCCCAAATATTCCCGATCCAATATTATAGCTGTGAAATAAAAAAAACTATTAGAACATAGAAATGTTTTGTAATTTTTTTAGATTAATTTTTTAGTTTAATTATCACATTAATTTATGTGAATTGGCAAAAAACTAGATTAATGAAGTTGAATAAACTGAATTGGCTGATGAAAATGAAAAAAGTAAGAATAAGCTTTAAATGCATAATTTAAAGTAAATATATAACTTTTATGTATTGAAAAAAAAAAAACAAATAAATGCAATACGACTTTATGTTACAAACGAATTCATATAAATATTGATAATGCGTACTCATTAAACGAATAAATGAATTTAATGGTGATTTAACTTTAGCATTTTTATATGATGTTTTTGTTAAATTGTTTATGAGATATCTGATTTTCAATATTACAAACCCACCATATTAAATTAAGCATATTCTTTTTTTAACAAAATGCGATTGAATTCATTCTTCTGGCTGCCAAAGTGAAACATAATTAATGTAATTTAAAAAACTACGTTATAATAACTAAGTAATATCACAAAATTAAATACATCATGAAACACCAAATAAATAGTAGATACAATATAATAACGCTTTTTTGTTTAAAATAAGAAGAGTTGAAATTTGGTATGATATCAATATTTTTACATAATACATGTTCTACTTAATTTAATATCAAATAATTCAAAACGCTATTAATAATATATGCTATACGTATAACATTAATCAAGTGAAAGGATTATTTAGAAAGGATTTTCAATTATCAATAATAAATTTTGTTTTATGTCGGTTTTCATAACGCCTCAAACTTGTTTCCATGGTTGCGGTAAAAACAATTGTCAGATGCTCCCCTGACAACAGCATTGATTTAATATTTTCATTTGTTTTCTAAACGCACAACGTATAAAAATATTTTATAATTTATTTGGAAAGTATAATTTTTTAAAATCAAGATGCTGAAATTTCAATTGATGACAGAACAAGACCGCAAGGAAGCGGCAAAAATAGAACGAAAGCGGCAAATTGAAGCCGAACGCAAAAAAAGAATATTTAATGCCAGAGCCCGTCTGATAGGTGTCGATTATTGCGCTTTGGAAAAGCAGATCAAGGAAAATCATGATCGAAGGACACAAGAAAGGGCCCAAGAGGAAGCTTTTTATAAACAACAATGTAGGACGCTGGAATTAGCCAATGAAATGGGTAATGAATAATTAAATTAGTCATTGGGCAGATGAAGTTTTCGGAAATTATTATTAATAGTTTTCGCAGGATGTAGAAATATTTGGTTCAGTGTTATAAATATTCGTGTATTATCTATTCTGTAACGTTGAAGAGCGTGGGCTAACAATAAACAAACTGATGCTGGGTTCGATCCTATATCAGGCAGGATGATATCAATTTTCTGTTAGACCTCAAATATAAACTTAAGTGAGAATCAAAAAATACTACTAAATAGAGTCATAATATGTCACAACTAGTATTGGACAACTACTGGGTTGTCTTCTAAATAAGTCAAACGCTAAGATAACATAACAACTGCTAAACATCCGTAATATGAATAGATACTGATTGAAAAAATCTTCAAAAATATTCTTATTAGAATAGTATTTGTCTGCTTCACATGTTAATAATTTACTCCGAAGTCAATAAAACTCGCTAAACCTTATAGAAATAATTTATCGCGATACAAAAATTGAGCATTAATCAAACAAATTACTGCAGTAATGTATTGTAATAATTGCAACAATCGATTAAATGATTGACTATTAGATTTTAATATGCAATAGTAGCAATAGTTAAATAAGTTAAATATCAAGATTGAGATTTCTAATCTTTTATAAATTTAGTTTAGATTTTTATAATTTAAATAAATTCTTCTTCAATGGATTGAATTTTAAAGAGATTCTTTTTGAACCGGTTGTACTCACATATAACAATTTATTTCGTCACTATAACAATTTATCGATAGAAGATTCCACATTCATTCCATATTCTGAAAAATTTATATAATTTTCAAAATAAATATAGCTACAATAATAATCAATTTGTGTTTAACTTATTGTTACAGAAAGGAGAGAAAGAGAAGCAAAAAAGCGTATAGAAATGGAAATTAATGAATTTCGAAAAGTATTTCAGCGTCCTGAGGATAGAAGAGAATTTGATTTGTATGACCCAGATGGGATGAAAAAATCGTTGCCAATTAGATTAAATGACGATGATCCAAGAATGGGTCCATCGTCTATTCAGAAATTTGAAGGTAATTATATAAATAAATAGGTGTGTACAAGTGTTTATATGTGTAAAAACGCATTATTCCTGTGAAAGTCCTATCAAATCTTTAAATAAATTTTTATCTTTTTAGGAGAAGATTTATTCGGCGAAGCACGTGCTAAGATCCAGAAAGAGCAGCTGCACGCTTGGCTTGGACAACAAATGCAAGAACGGGAAAATGCTGAAAAGAATCGCAAAACCGCGGAAGAAGCATATCAGGCTGCAATAGTAGCTCGAGACAATCGCGCTGTCGAACTAGATATGATGGAACAAGAATGCAGGAGAAAATTAATGGAAGCAACTGCACAATACAATGCTGCCTTAGCTGCAGAGCAAGAAACTGAAAGAATCATACGTGCCAAGCAAGAAGAAGAAGATAATTTGGCAGAGATTTACAATAATGTTACAAGCCCGATGTTGTGCGAGGAAGCCAGCCAGGCCCAAAGCAGTATGGGCGAACATAGGAAAATTGGCTACATGTACAAAGGAATGACCCAACGTGAAAAGGACGAAATAAAAGCTGAACAACGCAGGCAGATTGAAGATAACCGAATTAAGCAAGTTATGGAAGCTCAATACAAGAAGGATTGGGACACTTTAGCTTTGAGAATTTCCAAGCAAGCAGTTCTCAAAGAACGTCAGCAAGAGAGAGAACAGAAGGAATACGAAAGGGCGGTTCGTGAAGAAAATGAACGATTGAATCAAGAACAAAAATCGAGGAAGGAATATATGGATAAAGTAGTTTTTACAAACGAACCAACAGCCGCGTATTTTGAACAATTCAACACATCTAGTCGTTGAAATTTGTCGCATTTATTTTTTTACCCTAAACCTGTAGTAAAATATAAATTCAAAATTAAACGCAGTGAAAATTCATTCGTGTCAAAAGTAATTAAAAAAAATCAATTACGATTTTATTAAATTGGTGTATTATTTTATTAAGCTTAAATAATAAGAAATATTAAGGTCAATTCGCAATTATCAATCAATAAGTAGTTTCTCGTAATTTGATGAATCATATTTCTTTGAATTATGTTTTTCCAATATAATCGTAATGAAAGTTATATGGTATGAGTTTATTTGTAATACATATTTATTGTCTCATCACTAAAATATCAATCATAACATTTTGTTTGTTAAATTACATTGGTAGCAATAAAGTGTTTCAGTAAAAAGTGATATTTGTGGTTAAATTGTTCTACAATTATAATACAAAAAAATAGTTATCTATAAATTATACGAATATAACAAAATATTCAAAAATTGAAAGCTTATAAAATACCCTCGCAAATATACTTTAAGATAAAAATAGTAATTGGAGTATTTATTGTTTACTATCATTAACGTGGTTTCTATAATTGGGCTGTGAAACGACCTTTACTAAATGAACGAATGATTGAAATGAAATAATAAAATAACCGAAATATGAATACTAGCATATTCTAAATGCCGAGTAATTATAAAACATTGTTTGATAAACTTAATTTAATTTTAAGTTTTGCATAAAATATATAATGACTAGTGGGGTGTATAGCATCGTGCCTTAAGGCAAATTGCTGGAACTTTCCGTACCGTAACGAAATGTTCAAGGAATACTGAATGTTTTCAAATAGATTATTATAAATATTGTAACATTGTCTAATATTTATAAAAATTATCTAAACTAAATTGCAAATTTAAAATTATTTGTTTAAGTTATATTAGAACTTTAGTCAGAATAAAAATAATATCTGAATTATTTTCGCTGAAAAACTAAAAAAAAATCCAAAATCAATTATTTTGTTAAGAGAAGCAGAAAGTTCTTAAAATCATTTAAATCGGACGCTTAGTTCTCTCAAAAATTGCCATTTTTTATATATTTAGCTCAGTATCTTCGAAATGGCTGGGCCTGCCTTTACCAAAAACTCATAAACACTTCTCCCAATAATTACTAATTGAATGTTTTTTATATCATTCAAATCGGATACTCCGTTCTCTCAAAAAGTCGATTTATATTTTCTGCATTCTTTGCTCCGTATCTCCGAAACGGCTGGACCTGCTTGCGCCAAAAACTAATCAGCTCTTTCCCTATCAATAGGAATCGAATGTTTTTTGAACCATTCAAAACGGTTTATCCGTGCGCCCACAAACGTGACTGAAAATTTGTATCCATACATACATACACACACACACACACATCCATTTTCTGAGGTATGCCAAAACGTTCAGAAACCTTCAAAACGTCGAGAAATGTAACAATTTTCAATTTTGATTTTCGGCCCAGTACAATAACTTACCCTACGGGAAGTTAAAAATAACATGAACTATAAGTCTAGACAACTGTACAACATGCAGCAGTTAGTATTTATGTTAAATAGGTAGCAAATATAAATTATTTTTAAATAAAATTTATAGACTCACCCATTGTGGCGTTGCTAGATATGAGCGAATCCAATCCATATACAGGGTTCCGTATCAATATCAAACACAATTGAACAAATGCAACACCATGTACCAACATGTTAGTTTAAACGACGGATGTCAAATAACACACATGTCGTCGAGCGATGTATCGCACCAGACTTTTTAACGTTATTATTTGTAACTTTATTATTAATAATCCAACACCTGCAATTATGAATTTCATAACGAAATGTGCAGGTGCGTTTCTGATTGAATTTGTGATGTGACTACCGGACAAGAATTCAAACAGTCTCGGCATAACCATGGCATTTTCTCGCTGAGGGTTGGAAAAAAGGTCAGCTTGCGGCGCTCGTGCAAATTTAATGGAGTTTTGGAATCAATCAGTGCAATATATAGGCCACAAGAATGTGGATCACTAGGCCACATCTGCCGCGATAAAACACATATCATAATAAAACTGATAATCTATTGAAAATTGTTCAATAGAGTCAGGAATGACGTAAGTCTCTCATAAAATAAAGAAGCGTTGTCGGAAATAGGGAGCCTGCGTGATGATTGGAAATTAATAATATATATATATATATATATATATATATATTTATATATACAGGGCCGGTCCTGGGATACTCAGCGTCCACATGCCATTTTTTTTTGAGCTATTTATATTCTATTGAACAAACCATAGAGAACAAAAAAAAATTTACCCTTTCATTATTAAACATAACACTGGTACTTCATGTCAAATTATTTTAATTTAATTTTTCATTATTTAAAATATCTAAAATTGCACCGTAAACTTCTGCTGATATTGTGAGAACCTAATTGTATGTATTCATCTATACTTTACCATCGTGTATCAGATTGTTGCCTTGAAGTTTGAAAAATATTGTCCAAGATTAGTAAAAGATGCAAAGAAATTATATATTTTTTGAATGATATTGAAAAAACTATATTATAAATTTCATATCCGAATATCGTTTTGGCGCCCCCTAAGGCTTGCGCCCGCATTTTTTGCATACATTACGTTCAAGGTAGGACCGGCCCTCAAACTTTTTTTTCTTCAATACTTATTTGATAAATTTGAATTCAAAGAACTAATTCATTTATTCTTTAAAGCAAAACATGATTCAATGATTAAGTATTAGTACAATTTAACGTATTTCCGAATAAATATACAAATACACGCTAACAATATTAATAAAATTTATACAATTAAGACAAACACAAATATTTTTCATATATTTCGAGTTACTGTAAAAGTTCAGAAGGTACTTCACGTGGTATTAACACTTTGCGTCCGCTACATTGCTGTTTTTCGCTATAAATAAATTAACAAATTTTACTATTGTTGGGGATGATAGGTTTGAATGTAACTATCTTGAAAAAAAATTTATCCTATGCGGTTTAAATTTAAGTTTAGGTTGTTAGGTTGCTAATAATTTAAAGTACTTAAAGACCAAAGTTTTAAGTACAACTTAAAGCTTTGGTCAAACTGTGACCATTTTTCGGTTATGGTGGTTGAGTTTTTTTTATTTTTTTGTTCATTTGAACTTTGAAACCATGATCGTAAATAACATTTCTAAGAACACATTAAAAAAGGAAGACACCACTACAACAAGTTTCCTAGAACTAAGACTATTGTTAAACTATGAATTAAAAATTCTCAAAATTGATGACTTTGGAAGGCCTTCTTCTAAAAAATGCACTAAAGTGCCTTGGCAAGGTTTATTATAAATGTTCAAAAATATTCAAAATTAAACACAATAACCAAACAATAATGATCACGGTGTGATAAAAATAATTTTTAACCTAATGGCCATTAGGGATATTTTTCTCTAGTTTTTTTGATGAGAGTTACCACGATTTCTTACTACTTTCATTACTTGCAAATTAAACTTATGATTATTTTCATATAATCATAATAATAATTGTAAAATTATTACTTCCGTTATTACTTTCCAGCTTTCCTTCTTTTCGGCTCGTATTTGTCGAATAAGTCTTTATCAATAATGTATATTCCAACACCACTGTCTACCAGTTTTAATTTCGATAGTATCAATTCCATCTCTCTTATTGTATCAAACTGAAATTAAAATTATGTTTTATATTTGTTACATTTTGGAAGAAATTAATTCAAAAAAATGTTCAATTTTGATACCTGCTCATATACGTATGTTGTAACTATAAAATCTGAAGTATGGGCATCTTTTAACTTATCAGATGTTTCTTGCAAATGAATAATTTTCTGAAATAAATTTTCAATACAAAAAATAATTATATACTATTGACTAAGATGGAAAGCAAAAAAAAAGATTCCATTATATAATTACACCGGTAACATCTCGCTCTAAATTTAATGCAAAAGAAACAGCTGATGCAGCATCTGTGAGTTTCATATTTTCAGGAGTTTTGATTGGAGTAAACTCCACAGTTGCACCTCTGGCATTCAAAAAATTCACTAAAGTCATTGCATGTTGAGTTTCATCTTCTGACATAAACATGAAATAACTATAAAAACCCGGTAAAGCAACCTATTGAAAATAATTATTAAAGAATTCATTAGCAAAACCGGAAATAAATTCAGAAATTATTGCAAGGAATATAAAAATAATGCATATTTTAATTCGAGAAAAATAAGAAATTATAATTTTTAAACACTTACATCACTGCGATCGAAAAAACTTGCAATGTTCATATATGTATAGCTTGCAAACAACTCCCAATTTATCTGGACGTTTACCGCACGAACTAAGCCTGGTGTCATGGTGCATTTTTTGCATATCATTTCCTTTGTATCGGTACATTCACCAGAAGCGGCTGTTTGAACAACGAAAATTAGTAAAAATAGCTAAAAATAATTGTTTCAATAGCCTAATTTAACTTTTACACTTTTACATTTCACAACAAATTAAATTTCACTCAAAATATTAAGCACAAGACAATAATAACATTTATAAGTATGTGCACGTTTACTTTTAGAATATTTACTTGTATTTATAAAACCTGAAACAATTTAAGGCTAAATTAAGCAGAATACAAGTGCAAAAACATGTTTTTAATTAATAATTTTTATTCTCAATATTATTTGTATTGCATTATAATGTCACGGAAAACAGGTAATTTTACCAAAAATTTGGAAAAGCATTTTGGACTTGCATCTGATGAAAATTATTTTAAAATTTATTCTTACAACAAAATGATCTAAAATGAATTATGTTTCCAGTGGACAAGTTTCTTCCTGATGGTCTTCCCCAAGCTGATGCCGCAGTTCGCAATGGTGTACTACAGGCATCTTCGCCCCTTTGAGGCGAACTCATAGGTTGAGCTTTATCTCTTAAGTCATCTTTATCTTTATAATTAAAAGATCTATCGGGATATCTTCCTGGCCCTGTATGAGATCTATCATTTTTATCGATCTGCGCCTCATTAATCAGTTGTATTAGTTTCACAACTCTAAGATCTTCAAGAATTATTGGTTTATCGGAAGTCATCATGAGACGAATGTATTCTATGACTGCGCCGAGACGAGCGTTCTTTTTGGCAATGTCTTGCTCGGCTATCTCTTTAGGAGTTTTGACATGGACATTATTCAGTTTTATACCAGGTTTGTCGAGATTTTCGTCCGGTTCCGTCATTGTGCCGTAAGAACGATAACGACCTAGACTACTGCCGACGTTGCGGTTTTGAACTTCTTGAAAGGCAAATAAACAAGGAGAACACTTCTTCAAAACTGTATTTGATTTTGATGTTATAACTGTGAACAAATTTTTTGAATAAGTAACTTATTTGTTCAAAATTTCACTTTTGCCAACACGTGAGGGAAACGATAATTAACAAGTCACTATAAATCAACACTAATAAAACCACAAATTTATTATTATCATTATAATTATTACATTGTTCACCCATTGATTCCACATTTCGTCCGCATCTCAATACGTTTTTGATACCCTCGACACATGCTCTTCGTACAAATGCATCCATTTTTAATTGAGAATACATGTTAACAATTCTTTGATTTATGATTTAAAGCAACTAATAAAATTATTTTCAAAAACAACATTAAACTTTTGATTTAAAAAAATATGAACTTTGTCATTTACTTGCTCAAACGATAAAAAAATATAATTTTTGTCACTATCATTAAATAAATGTGTTATGCGAAATGAAAAAAACAATATACAGTTTGAGAATAAGATGTCAAATTGGATTTGTCATTCTATTAATTTGGTGATCAAGTAAGTTTTGATATTTTAAGTATATCATTATTTATCCAGGATAACTATAATAATAATACGAAATAAAACATCATATTGATTGTTTACATTTCAGTTTTGGAATCACAGTGAAAAAAATGGATAATTTGTTGAATCAACATATTGACAGCAGTTTATGAAAAGTAATATCTTTCTATTATAGTAATATTACCTTTTCATTATTCTCTTTCCTTTTATGTTCACATACTTTAATTTGGATAAATCATTATAGTTATCATTGATTAACAAAGAAAGAAATTCTTTGTATAATAAATTAATTTTTTTTATTAAATACTTATAAAATACATCTTTCATCCACTGTTCAATAAATTACTTAATAAAATTGGCTATAGTAAAAAATATAATAAATGAAAATTTTCAGTCCTTTTAAATAATCATTGAAGAGTTCAAGTTATTTTCAATAACATTTAAACTATCACTACTATATTCAATTTTATTTTGTGGTATTATTACTATATCCATTTCATTCTTTGCATTTGATGAATGTGCTGATAAATAATGATTTTGCAAAGTTTGTGCCTGAAAAGCAAAGAATGTTCTCAATTTAATTTCGAAACAGTATAAATATAAATAAATTATTACATACCAATTTAAAAACCCGATTGCAGATGTTGCACTTAAACTGTTTAGAAGGCTCATGCACAATCTGATGCTTATACAAAGATGAATATTCAGTAAATCGTTTTCCACAAGACTAAAATATTTGGAATTACACATTATCAAAATATAAATTTAATACGTACTATAATTAAGCAAATGCTATAAATTTTTGACAAAGGACTATCAATAGTTTATAATTGTTCTCATAAACAGCTAGAGAAATAGTTAATGAAATAGTGTAAATAAGACTTCAAGTATGCTCCTACTAAATTTAACATTCAATCTTGCATTATAGTTACCTCAACTGCACAAGCATAAGGTTTGAGCCCAGTATGAATACGCTCATGATTCCTATAATTTGTTGTTGACGAAAATCTTTTATCACAATATTTACATGCATATGGACGCTCTCCCGTGTGGGTACGCATATGAACTTTCATAATATTTGAAGTAGTAAAGCTTCTATCACACCCATCTATTAAACAAGTAAATGGTCTTTCACCTATAATATAAAATATGAAATTTTGATCAATGGTTTAAAGCAATTATATTAGGAAGTGCTGAATAGCTGATTTTTACACGCAAGCTCTACATAAGTAAAAACCATTATAAAAAAAATTATCATTCATTATCAAAAATTAATCATTCTTGCCATAACATACATTGTATACATATTGAGAAATCATGATTTATGATAATTATTTAATTAATGTGATTTAAGCATTTAAATTTAAATTAGTACAAGCAAGCAATAAAATTACTTATTATTGTATTTATTTATTTTATAAATCTTAATTAATGATACCTACCTGTATGAGTTCTAACATGCTTCTGCAAATCTCCAGATGTTTTGAAGCCTTTTTTACAATTTTCAAAAAAGCATTCAAAAGGTCTGGCTCCTGTATGTGTTCTGCAATGAGTTTTCAGAGAATAACTTGTCGCAAATGATCGATTGCAGGTTTTGCAAACGTAAGGTCGTTCTCCAGTGTGAACTCTTTCATGCACCTGCAAAAAAAACAAAACCCCACCTAAATTGAATATTACTTATATCATGTGTTATAGCTAGTGTTAAATAATTTTATTTAAACAAACTAAATTAATTATTGTTTAAAAGAAGTTGCAATAAGATTGTAATTCAATAAAATTATGGTAGAATTAGATACAAGTAAAAATAACAAACAAAAAAATAATATTGTCAAGGATTAATCTATAATATTGATAAATTGCAATTATAAAATTTCTAAATTACCCTTAGGTGATGTTTTGTGGTATATCTTCTTTCACAGCCTTTGTAAGTGCAAGCATATTTTTTTCCATGCAATTCTTCTTCAACCTCTGCTGAAACTGGAGGACTTTCACTTGAAGAACCATTAATTTCATAAACTAAATCATCACCCACAACTTGTTCATTTAACACTTGGTTTTGAATAAAATTCAATTCTGTATCATTCAAATCTAGCATTTCAGAATTCAAAGAATCAGCTGCTAAAAATGCCTGGGTTCCATCTGCTAGCATCACCGTTCTTAAATTACTTTTGCTAAACGTTTGAAAATCATCATTCAGGGGGATTGAAACATCATTTAGAAAGCTGGTCTGATCTATTTCCGAGCTCATGAGAAGAGGGTTTTCTTCATTGAATTCAAGAATATAAAAATCATTAGAATCATCAGTTACAATTCCTGATGAGTCATTAGATACAAATAGTCTCAATACAGGAGGTTCTGTTGAAATTGTAGCCATGTCTGCTTCAGAAACATTTGCAAACTTATCTTCCATCGTTTAAAATTAATTATTTATTTTTCATCTGGAATAAAAAACAACAAAAAATACTATAATCTTGAATACTTCAGTCGTATTTAGAATATTACCCTTTCAAATTCAATAAATAATAAAAGTAGGTGCAAAATCACTCAAAATGATACTCACATCTAAACACGCCGTAATAATTGTACAATTTTTTCGTTAGGTATTTTTATTCCATAATCTAATTGAATTATGGAAATTATAACAATACAACAAAATTATGAAAAACTCTCAAATTGCTAATTAACTTAATTTATTGTTGTTCCATATTTTTGACACATACAGATAACCTAAAACTAAATATTGTTGGTGATGGCCGTCGAATAAAGCACCGTTTATTGAACCGTTTTTTTTTTTCGCTAATTTCGTTCTTCTCGTTAAAAATAAAACAAAGTGTCCATAGATAAAGAAGAGTATATAAAGATGTGCAACTTCAGAGTTATCGATTTAATAAACAGCGCCACAAAAAGCGCCAATTTTAAATTTAAACTTTAACAAGCTATGCAAAGCTATGAATATAGGGACATCCTAGCTTTCACCGTTAGCTATACTAGCTAACAGCTAACGGTGTAAGCTCATGAGAAAGTAAAAATCAATCTAAAATTTTTCAATTCAATTTTAATGGTACCTTTGATCAGTTTTATTTACTACAAAAAACATAAATATTAAACCAAATTGAGCAACATATATCTGTGTGTCTGTTTTTTTGTTAGTAAAGTACCTAGACAATATAATAGTATCTATCACCCACACCAGTTTAGTTTAGTTTAGTTTAGTTTTCTCCATAGATAAAAGAAGCGTATGGAATAGAGAAACCAAGACCCATAGATAAAAGAAGAGTGCCAAAACCTTCTTTAAAAGTTTTTGGTTTTTTATAGTGTTGAGCCTGAGGCGCCGGTTTCGTTATCGCTCTACTTTTCAAAAGATGGTTTCATTTGGTCCAATATGCTTATATGGTTTTATTTGCCTGATTTGGCCTGATCGCTCTGCTTCTGTCTTCAGAAGACTGTTTTTATATTTTAGAAAAAATATCAAAAGCTAAAATGTATAAATAAATTGCAACTAACAATATTTTGTTATTTATTCCTGATATTACCATTATAAAAGATATGAGATCAAATCAATAAAACCAAATAAAGCAACAAACATCACTACAGTTTTAAATACACATAATTTATCACAACAATTTCTATTCGACTCTAACTAGTTACAGTAATTTAGTAAACATAATGTTAATGAAATACTCTATATTAATGCAATGTTAAATAATATAAACAAATTCTTAGGAATATATAATGCCAAATACACAAACATTATATAAATCAAAATTTTATTGTTTAATTCATGTAACAATAATATAATTAAATTAAATAATTCTTTCTCATTTAATTCTTTGATAACAACAACAGATATCGATGTCAATTCGAAAGCAATAGAATTTTTTCAGGAAATCACCAATAAACAAAATATACTAATAAATAAAATATGATAAAGTCTTACTTTCTTCTAGAATGTTTTAAACTTAGAAATAAATTGGTTCGAAAAATAAGAAATATGTTGTTAAAAACAATTTATGTGAAATATCAAGATAAATAACTTTTCTGAGAAAAATGGCGATATTTCTCATTGTTTTTACGCTAAGTACAATCAAATTAACCCTAATCGTAAGCTCGACAATTAAACACAACACATAGATCTGCACTGTTTTGATGTTAATACAAACACTTTTGGCACAAGACACATTTAATAAAAATAGTTATTCATCACGGACTAAATAATGATTTCTGAGGTATTGATTGTTGTCCTTTTATCTGTGCAACAAAATTGAGTAATGTTTTTAAATTACTTTCAATCATAACCTTATCAGAAAGTAACTGATCATGCCTGTAGTTTTGTCTTTTAATTTTTACACACAATTCTGATGCTAAAATATCTAAATCTTGTACTTCATATCTCAAATGTCTATATCTGTGCAATAAGTTGTTTCGCTGCTCTTTCTTGATTTTCAATTGATCTGTTAATTCAACTAATTTGAAAAATGAACTATGGGTTGAAGCTTTACTTCATGCATTACCTTTAGCATCAGGACTACATTTGTATATGCAATATGGGCACATACGCTTTTGAACATGTAATTGCCCTGGTCTGTGACATAGAAGGTGGTAGTATTCACCACATAATTGGCAGCAAATGACACCCTCATCATCTAGATGAATGAAATATATATATATATATATATATATATATATTTATATATATATATATATATATATATATATATGACACAATTTGGTTTATGATGAGCACAAAGTTGGTATCGATAGATGATTGAACTATATGAATTCAAGTTTAAAAAAAAGTATAAACACAACAAATAATATACGTACCATGTAACTGACAAATAATACAAATGTCTATTTTATTTCCCGTTCTATTCTTGTCTATGTTATTTCCCAGTTCTCTATTAATTTCAGAACAAACTGTAAGGTTTTCTAAACCTTGAAATTCAGTTTTAATTTCAGATGGTACTTCATTATTTAAAAAATTGTTGAAAATATGATTAGCAGATTTGCTCTTCCCATTTGTATCGCTAGATACTTGAGTTTTGAAACTGGCATTTGACCTTAATCGAGTCACTGGTGGAGTTCTTTGCTGTAGGTATAACTTCTTTTTACTTCTCTGAGATAAAAAAAATCATTAATTAGAAATCAAGTCTATTTAATTGTTCTATATATACATATATGTTATTTATAAATATAGAATCATGAGTTTTGGATTTTTGTGTATAATATATTCATCTGTGCATCTCTATTCTGAACAGTAAATACATTTAAAAACAAAAAATTTAGGAATGTACAACTTACTTGCAATGTTTCATCATCCTTCAGAAACCAAACACAAATTAATACAAATATATATATATATATATATATATATATATATATATAAATTACTCCAAAAAGATATAAATATAACATTAAATTCTAATATAATTATAATTATATAAGTTTAGATTACGAGTACTTTCCAGTATGAACTAAAAGCAAAAATGAATAAATTGACAAAAATAGCTAAAACAGTAAATACTTAATAAAAAGTAATTAAGATTACATACTTTTTTATTTTTTGGTGTTTTATGCAATAGATCCACATCAATGGCTTTGACATTCAACTGCTTTTTCTTATGAAGTCTTTGTTCAATAATCTGTGTACATCGGTCGTGTGTTAACACATTGAGGTATCTGCATAAGATAGATCAGCTACACAAGAAATTGTACTACATTCTTTCAAAAATGTAAAAAATTCATTTTAATCTTGCAACAGTTATATAGATTGAAAAATGCTAAAAAAAAAAAAAATATTTAAAAAAAATGAATTATTAAAGTTTAATAACAGCTTTATTCATTTTCAGATGACATTTAAGATATCATATACAACAAATTTAATTCGTTTGCTGGTCAAAAATTATTCAATGACCAATTATTGAAATTGACAAAATCTACATAGATTATATTTCAAATCAAAGTAATATTGTTATAATATTTGAATACTATAAATGATAACCCATGATTTATCAAAACTGGAGCAAAATTAAAATGAATCCACAAATTATAATTGTAGTCAATTCCATTTTACCTAAAAAATTGTTCTTTAGAACCAGGCTCCATTGATGAAGCTGATGCTTCTAAATCTTCTTCAATGTGTTCAGATGTTTCTTTCTCCTTGGATTCATCTAATATTTCCATTCCATCATTTTTTATGATTGTTTCCATTTTATTGCTGTCCTCTTTCATGACTTGTTCAACTTCATTTGCTTCATTATTTTCACATTCGTCATTTTTAGCAAAATCCTCACTTTCACCAACATTTTGTTCTTCACTATTGGCATCATTGTTGTCAACTCTTTTATCATTTTCTTCTATTTGGTTACCTTCTTCCATTTCATTGTTTGAATTTGTATTACTATTTAATACTTCCTCATCATTTGTATTAATTCCTTTCTCATCATTTGTATTAATTCCAATTTCTTTGGTCTCATCTTGATTAATATTTTCACTATCATTATGATTATCAAGATTATCATCATCACAGTAGTATTCATCAGGATTATCATCTCCAGCACAGCTTTGAAAATCATCATCAATATTTTCACTGTCATCATGATTTTCAGCTTTATCTTCACTGAAATTAGGTTCCTCCGGATCCTCTAATTTAATGTTTGCATCATTGTGCTCGTATTCGGACTCAGGGCTAATTGTAGTTGAATGAGATGACTCTTTTTGATCTTGTGTTCCTTCTTTAACCATTTCTGAAGTATCATGTACTATTGTTAACTCTGGAGATGATGGTGGTGATGTTGTCTCACTGAAAATTTTTATAAGAGATATTAATAAATTTATAAATGAGTATAAAATGATAAAAAACTTAAATATATTAAGAAGTAATCAATTGCATTATCTGACACTATTTTACATAAAGCATAATTAAATTAAGAACTGTCTACAATTACATTAATAGTCGGATATAAAAATACTACATTTTAATATATGAGCAAAATGAAGAAAAAACAACAAATGTAAACAGTGATAGATTTTAATTTATGATTGACCAACTTACGATTTAACTATTATTGGATCATCCGGTATCTCCACAATCGATGATGTTGTTTCACAAACCGATGCAGTGTTTTGCTTGCAAACTTTATTGAGAACACTTAACAACTTAGAACGACGGTCTTGTAAAAACTTGGACTTCGGTTTGTCTTCATTCATTTTAATTTTTTTCTGCTGCTGAGGAGTTTCTTGCCGTTTTCTTCTTGAGAACTAACTGAAGCTCGCTTCGATGGTATTTGACTCAATGAAATTTTTTTATTCGGCTGTACTTCATCAATGGTTTCTTCAAATGATGTTGGTGATAATGAGGAAGATTGCACCAAAGTCTTGTATTTATTTCTTAAAAATATTAGATATAATTATTAGTACCGTGATATATGAATGATAGCAAAGAAACTTTGCAAATCATAACTGTATATTTAAACACTAAATGCTTCAAGAGAATTTATAAATACTAAAAATTGTAAATATGCACCTTTCATTTTGATATTCTTCCAATTGACGTTCAATATAAGCTGTATCAGCATCATAATTAACTGGTTTCTTTTCCCTTTTAAGTTTGTCATGGTATCTATCCAGTTCATCACGAAGTTCTTGTACTAGTGGTTTCTAAAGAAAATATTTTCAAGTTAAACTATTATGTAAAACAAGAAATAAAACATAATGCCAATTCATAAATTCCATGTTGAATGAATTGAAATACAAAATTTCAAATTTCATTATATTTATATACATCATATAGTACATTCATAATCTATAATCCATAAAACGCACTTTATTTTCTAAACTTCATTTATAGATTTTACTACTAGAAGTGCATGGCATTACGCCCTAAGGCAAATTACTAAAACTCCCGTACCATTTTAATTTTTAATTTTAAATTTTAAATGTTTTCAAATAGATTATTATAAATAGTATAAAAAGTAGGAAAGTAGGAAAAAAAGGAAGAAAAATAAAAAGGATTAAATAAATGAATAAATGATAATTAAATAATAATAATAATAATAATGACGATAATAATAACAATAATAATAAATAATAATTATAAGTTACTTGTGTGAAACATTTTTCTGTGCATAACAGAAAAAAATATGTTATGAATTGCGGCAGATCAATTAGCCATTTTGTCTTTAGTTGCTTTAATTTTTCAGCTGACTGTACTAATTGTATTATAACTAATTCAGATAGATTAATTTTGCTAGCATAAATTTATCAAAAAGATTTTAAAAACAATAAAAAAAAAATTATCAAATAAAGTAATCAAAAATGTTCATAAAACTGGATTATAAAATGAAAATAAAAATACAAGAACAAACGTCATACAATATAATTTTTAATATTTATTGATACCAACAAACTAACTGTAACTAGCTAATTAAAATCGAACTACAGTTTTCAAATAATTAGTAGATAGTGTAACAAATTTTAATAGAATTTTATATCATATATGTAATATATAAACAAAAATGTAATACAAGTTTTTGCTCCATTCAACTATTAATTAATCATTATAATTAGACTATAATGTATCACTAACCTGCTGTTTTGCGATAGATCTTATCAAATTTTCGGCATTGACTAACTTTTCAGTTAATTCTCGTCTCTAGAAATAATTACTAATTATAACATCAATTGTAATTGAAAGTTTACAGTTAGAAAAATATAAATACTTACATCCTTTGGATTAGCCTTTAATTTTTTAAATAATTTCTGTAAATTGAACATATGTTATTATGAAAACAAAAACTTTGTTTATATATATATTAAATATATATTAAATGTGTGTGTGCTATCTAAGAGTTTATTTACCTGGTGAAGCCCAATAGCACCTCTTAACTTCTGCTGGCAAACCATAAGATCATTCTTAATATTTTCGGATATATCCATTATTATTTTTTCAACAAATACTCTAAAATATTTAGTTCGCAAATTAAGGTATATGCATAAATTATAGCATAGTATGTTTACTCAAACTTAGCACCATTTCATTAAATGCATGAAAAGCAGTACAGTTCATTAATAATATACTCTGTCAAATAAATTTGTTATCACATTAAGTGAAAACAAATATTTATTTTTACAATTTGTAAGATAATAAATTCTCTAGGAACAGAATATCGAATAGGAATATATTTTTATAGGTTTTATATTTTATTTTACTATCAAAAAAAATTATGTTTTCGTAAATTAGTAGCGGAATATATCGACTATATATTTATAAACATATCACTATAATATTTAAATAGAAAATTATTATTATTATTACTATAGCAAAATAATTGAGTCCACTTTTAACGATTTTACTATATTTTTATTTGCACATTTTTGCATAGGAGCAGTAAGCAACTAGGAAGGCTGAAACCGGGATCTGACATAGCATAGGATAATTAATTTTTAGATAGTGACATCTTATGCTCAAAGTTTGAAACCAAAATAGAGCAGGAGCCGCTAAATATTTAAATTTTTGTCGCAAAAAAGTTTCTTAAATTATTGGCTCTTAAGTTTTACACTCCTATCCACATTGTTTGAAAATAAAAAATAATGTATTCAATATGTATATAAAATGTGTAAATAATAATATACATATAAAAATGTACACTTTTTATTTTATGAACACAATCATCAAAAAATTAAACTAGAAGGATCAAGAATGAATGAATCGTAAATTGTTGTATTTGTATGTGGTTGGCCAAGAATGTAAATTGATTAAAATGTATTAATCTTTTACATTTTTCAGGTGAATAAAATCGAAATGTATAAAAGCACAATGCAAAAATTATGAAACGTTTAGGGTAAAAGGAAAGGTGATAAGTTAACAAGGATCCCTAGGATCCTATGCATCCTGAATATTATTTTTTCTAGAGTCCCGATGGCTGAATTATTCAATCTGATCTATGGACCCACAGTTGTATTTGTATCAAAAGGCCAGGTGAAGGCAGCAACGAGTTTTATTCGAGTAAAGTTGGCTGATATTTAGTACTGTACATATTTGTGAGTTTTGTAAAAATCGGTTATGTTAAAAAAATAATAGTAACACCGTCAATTTGATCTTTAAAGACCGCTAAAAATTGTTTACGTTTGTTTTACGATTTGTTTACACATGGTTTACACTGACAACTGAAGTATCATAATATTTTTGATGATTTGGTATAACCTCAAATTGCGGCAATAGCTTGTGATATTTATTATCTTTATCTGTTATCACTTTATAATGTCGAAGCGCGTTGCAGACAAAGAAATTAATCAAGATAATTGGGATGAAAATGAAGATTCAGAAGAAGCAGGAACTTTCCAGCAAGCCGCTGACCATATTCTCAAATCTAGGGTTATCAAAACCGCTAGACGTCGAAATAATGCTACAGAATCATCTGGTGCTGCCAAACCTATATTCAGTGGTTTTAGTTTTACTAAACAACCTGAACAAGAATCGTCCAAACCTGCGTCCCTGCATTTTGGAAATACTTCTAAACTTGGAAGTACTAAAGACAATTCAGTTTCAGAATCAGACAAAGAGAAGTGTCCAAGAGATAATGAGTTTTTCACACAAATAAGAAGCTTAAACAAAAGTGTTTCTCAATGGATTAAAGAGCACGTAGATAAGGATCCAATTTGTGTTTTAACACCTATATTTAGAGACTATGAAAAACATTTAAGAGAAATTCAAGATAAATATGAAAAAAGAAAGGAATCAATAAGCTTTAATTCGGCAAATTCTGTTACTGATAGTATTAAACCTCTGAGTGACTCTGATAAAGGTCGCTCTCCGGATAAATTAGAACATAAAACTGATAATTCTTTAAAAGTCTCAGCAGAAGAAGCAAAACAAAAATCAATATTTGGTACAGGCTCTGCAACATTTTCATTTGGAAATAGTACTACTAGTCCCCCAAGCACATTGCCTACGGCTGGCTTCAGTTTTGGCATGGGAACACCATTTACTTTTGGTAATGCTGTCTCAAATCCAAGCTCAACTAAAGAATCAACACCAAGTCAGTCCAGTGTTCAAGAAGATCCTGATGAAGATGAACCTCCTAAAGTTGAATTTAAAGCAGTAATTGAAGAAGACAGTATTTATACTATACGCTGCAAAGTTTTTATTAAAAAGGATGAGAACTATGTTGATGGTGGTGTGGGAAATTTATTCTTGAAACCTGTGAAAGATAGGAATAAGATGCAACTAATAGTAAGAGCTGATACTAATCTGGGTAACCTTCTTTTGAATGTTCTATTATCTGATTCAATACCTACAAAAAGAATGGGCAAAAATAACGTTATGATGGTTTGTATACCTACACCAGATAAACCTGCACCTACTTCAATTTTATTGCGAGTGAAGACTTCAGAACAAGCAGATGAACTGTTGGAAATGATTGATAAGCATAAGTGTTAATTTCTTTTGTTAAGATTATTTTTTATGCTGATATTAAACATTCATTGTGAGGTTTAATATGAAATTGTATTTCAAAATATAATAAAGCTTCACTACATTATACACAAATTTATATTTATATTATTTTTCATAATAAACAAATCTTTTTATATTGCTGCATTATATTTTGTTTGCATATTAATTATTGAATCCAGATCTTAAACCTTCTTCTATATGCCGCAGATGAACCTCAATACAATTCCTGAAGGTTGCTTTATTTGCTGAACTTATTCTGGATTTTATTTCATCTACAGTTCCTTTCAAGTATTGTAGTTCACTTGGGCTCTGTTCAGATTCAGATAGACATCTAATTTGCATCATTAAAGCAGTTAAATCAGTAATAACATTTAAGTATTTTTTGTTTGTGATAATAGCTTTTTCAGGAGCTCCCGAATTATGTTGTTGCACCATCTTAGTGGCTTCCTCTCGACATTTTTCTCTTAAATATGAAGGAGCAATCATTGATGTTAAACCAGGTTCAGGAGCAATTTCAGTGCAAGTAGTTTGTACCTCGTTCAAAAATTCTGTTAAATCTTTATTAATTTTTTCCAATTCCAATAATATACCAGCATATTGTTTTCTAAATGTTTCTGGAGGTTCTCCAGCAAAAGATAAATTACGTTCAGCTTCTCTGTTTAATTCTGACAATCTTTTAGTTTTCAATCTTTTGACATTCAAAATTTTATGAATGCGAATTACATTTTCCAGTAGCTTTACAGGAAATCCTCCAAGTGTGTCTTCAGACATTAAACTAGAATCTTTCATTGGCGATAATGCAAAAGAATCTGATTGACCATAATTTGAGAAAAGTAATTTATTGGTAGGTGTCAGGTAACTTCCCTGAGATCTAGGTCTAAATTTTTGAACTATGCTACTTAATGATATTGTTTCTGGAGCCTCATGTGATAAAACTTCAAAATCTGGAACTGAATAAGTACTCAAACCAGGCCGATCAAATGTTATTCTGTAAGTACAATTGGATGTATCTACAGCATGAATAACCCCAGTAAATAAACCATCTTGGGGTTTACGCAATCGTGCAGTAACTTTTGTACCTAAAACTAAAGGTAATGGAATTTCATCAGGCAAATCTTTACAATTAGCTACATCTCCAGGTATACGTTGTTGAAGAGCTCGTATTTTTTGTCTTTTTCTTTCTAATTCTCTTCTTTCTTCTGTAAAAAATGCTTCTGAACATCTTCTTGGCTTACCCATCATTCGTCGAATTTTTGTCCACTCAACACGAGTTAACATATGTGTTTTCAATTGAGGAAATGATTCTTTAAGACAAATCATAAAATCATTGTCACCATCAAATAGTGTCTTATCTAAATTACTGTAAAACCATTCATAACAAACCCATTTATGTGCTTTCGGCAGTTTTAGCAAATTGCGTAATCTCATACCTATTTTCTGGCCTAATTTCTTATCCGGTGCCTGAGTACTTGTCTGACCATTTTCATCATCATCTTTAGTTCTATATTTTTTAATAGGCGTTACCTTGCGTTTCTTTTGGATAATACTTTTATGAGGTGTCTTTACCGGTGAGGATTTTGGTCCTCTTTTAGGTGATGATCTAGGAGGCTTTGCATTAACAATATCATCATCAAAAAACAATCGATTTTTCTTTCTTATTCTAGCTGGCATCCCTCTTGCATTCAATACTTGTATGGGTTGTGAGGGAGCAGGTTTTGGAGGTAATTTTGTACCCACCCTGTGCAGCCCCAAAGCAGCTGGACCAAAAGCTGGAACATTCTCCTCGTCTTCTATATCTTCTTGGGGCTCTTGCTTGACCATAGTTTCCTCACTCATCGTATTTCAAATGTCAATAATATTCCATATGAGAAATTTAAATTGCAAATCGCAATGTAAAAATAACTTCTACCATTAACTACACAACTATGCAACACAAATTCAAGAATATTATACACAAGATAAAAGTTAATCACTATTTTAAAAGTCTTATAATTTGTATTTCATAAGTACGATATTTCAAAATTCAAATCTGTACACATACAGTTTATTAAATCATTAATAAGCATACCCGTAGGGTATAGATTTTGTAAATTCAGCACAAGTACGCTTCAAAAAATAAAAAATCCAAAAAAATTAAAATTCTGTAAGAATAGCAATCTCATAAAATCTGTTTATTTGAATCGTAATAATCGAATTACTAAGTTTAAAGTTTGTCCGCCATTTTGACGTTTGAATAGGCTCTTGGGAAATGATTACATCCAGCATTAGTATGAAAAGCGCACGAAATTTAAATTTAAATTCAACGAACTGCTTTTTTCGTACAATATTAATTTTATTAGCAATTGAAAGTTTAATAAAAGAAGGAGTAAAATGTTCTGAAGAATTTAAAATTGACGCAGAACCTGAAATATCCTGTCGAGAAAAAACACGTCTCATTGGTACCGATAAAAATGACTTATATGAGCTTGTCACAGCTCCTTTAAATGGTACAGTTGAACTGGAATGCCATTTTTGGTAAGCTTACTTTTTTAAATATTATTATTAATTATGTAGATGATAGGAAATATAACCAATCGTTATGAAAACTAATTAATAAGTACGAGCTAAGGTCCTTGAACCGTGTAATACTAAGTAACATATTTGAGTAATGTACATAAATCATAAATCTTTCACATTGATATAACATTACACAGTTAAATTTTGAAAAGCTGCTTTTATAAAACCACCTGTCTAAATATATATATATATATATATATATATATATATAATTAATTTTATAATAATATATATTAAATAATATATATTAACATCGATGATTTTTCCAAATTTGCCATTCAATATTCAGAACAAATTTTTCTTTATTCTTGTCGTATTTAAAATGTTTTTTTTAATATACATTCTTTTATATATCAATTGCGATATTGGTATGATATTTATAGGTAATAGCATTATGCAAATAGCATTTATCAAAAATCTATTCATCGAAGTTTACACATTAAGTCATTCTTTTTAGTCATGATATAGATGACCAATATCCAAAAATATGGTATTACCAAAATGAAATAAACAGCGATTCAAATCAAGAAGTTGATGTAGGGATGGACACTAATCCTCAAGATTGTAAATTTTTTGTTACTACTAGCCATACATTGATAATTCGAAACATTACTGCAGAAGATGGAGGATTTTATTTTTGCCATGGAAGAATGGGACAAGAAGCACAATATAAATACAATTATTTAGTTGATGGTTTGGCTTTATAATATCTATATAATCTAGATAATATTATAATATGACTTAAAAGGTTTATATTATTCAAACTTACTTAAGACCTAAGCTAATATAGTTATAGTTAAATTAAAATAAAAAGAAAATTTTCGAAAATAATGCAAGCTCAAAAATATTTTTTACACTATTTTATAATATTTTCATATATTTTTCATTTTATTACTACATTTATTTAATTTATATATTCATTATTATGATTTTTTTTGTAATATAAGTATTACTTTGTGTTTCAATATTTATAAATATATATATTTAAATATACATATATATTTTATCACTGAAAGAAGTAGAAAATAATATAAACAATACTAAATTTTAAATAACACGTTTTAGTCATGGAAAACCTGAATATTACATCGTACAAGGGTAATATAACACAATGGGCAATTTACCATAAAGACATATTAGACCCTATAAACAAATATTTCAAAACTGCATCAGAGTCTGAGTTTACATTTATTAGAGACAACTTAAGCACAAACTTGGAAGTCATAACTGAATGGAGCTCTTGGGGTAGATGTCAAGTTTGCGAATTTCCTCTTGGACATGCAATCAAAACTAGAACAGGATTTTGCCATATCAAGACTAAAAAACTTAATCAGCAAAAGCATTCAGTAAGGATTTAATATGAAATGCTGCTAAGCTCTGCTTATAATTTTTATTAATGCATTAATAATAATTGTAATAATATTTAAAAACTATTTTAGGAAAATGATAAAACTGCAGCTTATACTGGTACCGAAGCATTGCAAGCAAAATTTATAATAAATGCTTTCAAACTATCTTGCCGATCTGTCTATTTTAGTAAATTATTTCCAATAATAGCAAATTATACAAAGATAATACCAAATTATATTCAAATTGATTCTTGTGTTGGAAATTGTATATCAGGTAAATTTGTATGATCTTGAAAATGCACATAATGTTAAGTATAAGTTATTTCAAAATTATAAAAAATTCTACACATTATCATAACATATATAAGAATATAAAGAAATTTCCATTAATCTAATATATACAGTATTAAACTAACAATTTGCATTAACATATTTTTTGAAACAGGCCAGAAAGGATGGCAATCGAAGAAGAGTCCCTACAAATACAAGAAAAGCTATGTAATAGCACAAGGTGCACATTTGACGTTGATTTGTCCTGAGTAAAAAAATATAATCACACGAATAAAATCTTGTTAAAATAACTCAATTTATAACTTTGAATATTATGAAATAGGTCAACAATTGAAACAGAAGTGGTGTGGAAAAAACATAATAAAGAATTGGGAGGTTCCTTAAGAAGAAAGGTTCCTTTTTTGTCATACTTGAAATTTGACTCTCATTATAAAATAGTACAATCCATGTACAATTGTATACATTTTAGTATCAGTTTCATTATAATTATGAACAAATTATCATAAATATTAATATCAAGATTTATTCAGGAAAAGGAATCTCATATAGCTGTTGATACTTTTGGCAGTCTCTATATATTTGATGCGACAAGTCAAGAAGCAGGAAATTATACTTGCACAGTGAATGATATCAAAATGCAAGAAGTTACAATCATGGTTATTTCCAAAGCGGTTCTTCTGACAAAAGGCAAAATCATATACAAATATTTTGTTCAAATCAATTATGTATAGAGTTAAAAAAAATGTAATTAAAATTTCAGCCTTTTTACGTCATATGGCATATTTAGCATTTGTTCTCTCTTTAACTTTGTCTTGCTACTGCTCTGGATTGTTTGTAATGTGCAAAAATCACAAATCTTCTAAGAATTATGCAGACCAGCCAAAGGAAGAAGAAGATGTTGATGAATCATTCCTCACAGACACCGATGATGGTATGTTGAATATAATTTGTAATCTATTATAAACAAATACTCAATTGAGAGAACTTTGTTTATTAAATCTATTTGAGCTTTTTATTGTACTAGTACCAGTATCGCTTTTCAATTCTATTTTGATTAAACATGAACTATCCCCACAATTTTTATTTTTCTACAGAACCTACAACACCTCCATCAGAAATAGATTTGTACAAATTGTTAATCCCTAAAGCAGAAAAATCCAAAGAGATTAGCAATGTATTTCAGAGTAAACAAAGTAAACATAATAAAAAACATTTTAAAAGGAAGACTGAACCAAATTCAATTAAACAAAAAAGTGCCTCATTAAATGTGAAGCCTCAAGTTCTAAGCCCTGAAAAAACACAACCCAGATTACAAACTGAAATAGAAATTGAAAAGCTTCCTCAATCTTCACTTCAGTCCAATAAGGAACAGAAAATGCATAAAGAAAATAATTTAAGTACTAGCGTTGATCATTTGTATCATAATGATAATTTTGAGAAAAAACTTGATAGCTCAAATAATGATATATACATTAATTGGTCAACAGATCAGAATATATTAAATAATTCAGAAACTTCATTTGACAGTATTAAAATATCAGAAAATATAATTAATAGAGGAAATAGCCTGAACAATAATAGTTTTGAAAATCGTACTATACTGGCAAAACACGAAGCATTAAAAAATGGTGGCTCTAGTTATTTTTATGACAAAACTGATATTTCAAAAGAAGAAATTGATATATATGATTTCAATAATATGCCATCCACTTCCAAACCATCAGTTTTATATAGTAAAGATCCTGAATATGCAATGCGCATATTTCTTTATGAAGATGATAGTGATAACATAAAGAAAAAAATTCATAAAAAGCATCGATCATATTGGCAACAACAAAAAATAAACAAACCAAATATTAACAACACTTTCAAACCCGATTACAATATAACAGAATCATCTAAATCATTATTACAAAATGTATACAACTATAGTGATTCCAACACTTCAAGTACAACAGGTAAAAATAGTTATACTAATAAATTTACTGATAACTATGATGCCCTAAATTCAACTGACTCTGGATCTGATTTTACTTCAGAATCGAGCCATAGTCAACAAAATAACAAATGGATAATTGATGATACATCAACAACATCTATTTCAATAGGAACTCTTCGTACCAAAGAAATTGATGAAGATGATGATGATGAAATTATCTTCACATCGGGGAAAAGGACTAAGGACAAAAATATTTTCGAAATATTTTCTTCTACACTAAAATCTTTCTTTTCATCAAATACATATAGAAACAGGAGTCTAAACATTTAGAAATTATCATATTAATCAAGAACATGAATGGAAAGGTTTTTTTTTATGTAGAAAACACTTATAATAATATTATCATCAAAATATGTGATAAAAAAAAGCTTAAAACTTTATTATATAAATGATTTAATATTGATGATAATAATAATGTTGATTGAATTTAAAAACTTTTTCAATGACAATTTACATTCATCTGTTTTATGGTCTTTACAAGGGATGTAGCTAATGCCATATCAATTATACATGTATCTAAGCTCGAATTAATAGAAACTTTCCAAATTTTTCAAAGAGAAAAAATACTTTGAAAATACTGAAGTTATCAGCTACAAATGATTTATCAAATAATGGCTTTGCCACAAAAAAAAAAATTTGGGAAAAATTTACTCAAATAATTAGAATGAATAAATAATTCTTTTCTGTATGTTATTAAATTATAAACAATAAACATATTGTTCAATCAAAGGACGGTTTGTTGTATTGTATATATTATATTGTTTTAAACAATAAATATTTATCTAATAATATTAAGATATAAATATTAAATAAAATCAACAAAATTAATTTGTTTCAGCTATCCGCTCTTAAAAAATCACATAAAAAATTAATTGTAAAATTCACCTAATAGAGATATCCTTTGAGAAAATGGTTGTGCCTTACAAGTAAGCAATTTATAATCATTCTCCCATGTAATATTTCTTGAATGATAATTATTCTTAATCATAAGTAATAAATCTTGTGGGTCAAACTTCAATTTTTTTGGCAACGCACTTTTGATCAAATTTTTAACTAAACTTTCTACAGGGGTTGTGTCCGAAAAACTGTCTACAACTTTAGCAGTATTCTTATCAATATCAGTTTTATACTTAATTTCTCTTAATGTGGAATCATTTGCCGTATGTAGCATATCATTTTCTTCGGAATTTGTATCTAAATCTGAAGAAAACTTGACAATTTCAATAACTTCACCTAGATGACCCTGAGAACTACTTTCATTTGTTTGATATTTTCCTTCAGTATTGTTTCTTGAAAATGTATCATTAGTAAATTTATTATCCATAACATTTGGATTTTCATTTAATTCATTTTCTGATATTTCTGTGATATCAATATCCAAAATCTTTCCTTCACTTTGCAATTTTTGTGGTTTTGAGTGATCATCTGTTGTGAAGTCATGAACTTTGCTTTTAATGCTTCGGAACATTTTTATTTTTTCATGTAAGTTTGATAATAAATTTTGTCTGAAATAGATGATTTTATAAAAGATTTTCTTTCAGTGATTAATATTGAAAAAGAGATATTAAAACCGCTTTAATTTAATTGAACTAGTCTTTTTGGATATAATTACAAGAATCATCTTGCTGCCTTCACAATCAATAAAAAACATAAACTTCTGCTTTGGGAAGTTAATAATAAAATAGTGGCAAATTATTTTAGCAATAACTTGTTTGAAGATAAAATTTACTGTTTCTTTCATGATCATGCAAAAAAAAAACTATAAAAAGTAAAAAAAATAAAGCAATTGAATATTTATCTAACTCTTTTAATACCACATGTGAACTCTGAGGTAGCTAGCCCTGCAAGTACATTCAAGCAAGTGAAAATACTCAGCCAGCTGATAAGTAGCATTTCTCAAGATAAGTATTTTTTCCCGCCCCGCTTATCAACAAAACGTAATATGTTTCAGTTAACCATTCTTAAATAAATATTTCTCCATACATCCATAACAGGTTAATCGTTATACAAAACATTAATTGTAAAATTCCACTAATAGAGATAGTTTATAGTGTGTTAGTTTTAATTAATATAAGAGACCATAAATAGTTAAAACAAATGAGAATTTCTGTTTTACCTGGGAATTTCATGACAACAATGTAAGGCTGCAATATCGATTGGATGTGCTTCTGTGTTAAAAACGTATCCTCCAGTATCAATAATGCATTTACCATTTGGAGTATCAATTATTTGCCCATGTTGTCCTCTTGAATGTATAAAGTTATTAGTGTCAAATAGTAAATACAAATATTTGGTTGTTTCGGCAAGAAAGAATGATTCCATTTTATTTTCTCTTTGATGATTTCTGACATCTTTAATCTGAAACATGCATCATATATTAGTGAAAAGTAATTTTAGCTTAACAAGAATAAAATTACTGTAGCATATCCACAAGATGTTTTAGCACTATGTTGTATGCTTCTCAATATGTCTTCACCAACTTGCAATAAATATGGATCTTGTGTTGCTCTATATAAGTACATCACTGATTCAATTAATTCTGGCCTTAATGGATAGTTTTCCCTATAATTTAAAACACAATATATTTTCTGTTGTTTTGTAACAATGCTCTATTTTAAATAACAAATACAGAGGTAACCAGACTTACGAGTGACCTGATATTCGAGCCGCCAAAAGGAGGCATCTACTAATCACGTGAGCGAGTTTTTACGGCTAGGCCTGCCTTCGCCCAAAAACTAATCAGCACGTCCTCTTATCAATACGAATCGAATGTTTTTTGAATTATTCAAATCGGTTGAACCTTGTTCCCAAAATCGCCGACGAAAATTTGTATCCGCACGCACATACAAATACACACACACATACATCCATTTTTTCTAAGGTATGCCAAAATGTTCAGAAACCTTTGAAAATTAAAGATATATACAAATTTTCATTTTCAATTATTTTGCGATTACTAGAACTTACCCTTACCCGGGAAGTTGAATATATTTTTTTTTATTTTTTTGAAAATGTTTGAATTTTCTTAAAAAAATAAATACATGTGATATCTTACTATACCCCTCCCTCCCCCACGTAATATTTCGTAATTTTTTGTCAAATCCCCCCTCGCCCTAAGAACTTCACGTGATTAATGGACACCCCAAAGAATTATTTTAGAGTAAGTCTATAATGTATATAATATGATGCAAATATATTGAGAATTCATTTAACATTTGAAATTTTAACTACACTAATAGTGATTGTTATACTCAAGTACTCAACATAGTTCGCATTTTTTGCTTTTTGTACATTTACAAAATGTTATGTACTTTTATAACCTGGGTCTAAAGAAAAGGGCCTTGTCTCTTGATTTAAAGCATGAAATTATGGGGCAAGGATACTATATATATATATATATATATATATATATATATATATATATATATATATAAATATAAATATATATTAATCTAAATATATATTTTATAATATGTGAAGAAATACAGTTGTTCTTCTGATCCCAAATAACAAAAATAATGATACTTATTAATAAAAATTAAAAATACTCTACTCAAAATTATGATACTTTCATAAAAATTGAAAATACTCTACTCAAAGCACATAACAGCAAATAATACCTATTAGTCCCAGCTTCACCAGCAGCTATGTTATAGAGCTCGGGCGTAAATCCATACTGCTTCCAAACACTGTGATAATTATGTAAAGTCTTCATAGCATTTTTTGTATCACCTACAAATAAAATAATTGAAATCACATTAAGAAACATTTTCAAATGAAATATTTTTATTGTATGCATTATCTGCTACTATAATACTATACCCTTTTATCATAGCAAGGATATGTATTTTATTATTTTGGTATTGAATAATTTTAGCCTCTGACTTTTTGAATTTAGGCAATATGGATCTTTTTTCTAGATAGAATGTTAAGTCACTCACATACCAATTAAACTTAAAACGCCTGGCCAGTATGCTTCTAGAGATTGAAATACAGGTAGTGTTACTTGGCCTTTATTCATAGAAGCCCATATATGCCAATCATCTTTGCGCAAATACTTATTTATTGATTTATAACCTTCATTAAACATATGCATAAGTTCTGGCCTTTGAAGCATAATAGCACCTACAAAATAATTTAAAAATATTCAAATAATTTCAAAAAGAAATAGATAATGATTATCAATTCACCTTTAACTAAATATTCATAATAGGAATCTACTCCTGCTCCTATACCCGCATCTTGAGCAGTCCATCGTCCGGTTAATACATCAATATGATTTCCAAATAATCCAATAGAAGATCGGTGTTTATATAATGAATGCAAAGCATTTAATGCTACCTGAAAGTGGTTGCATAATTATTAATAGTATACAAGATAAATTTCATTAAACATCATAATGAATAGATTCATTATTCATCATAATGAATTAAATAGATCAATTCATGAAAATGAATTATTCACATATAAAATTTATTATTTATGTCTCTTTTATATTTCATACTAGTGTTTTTGATTGACTAAAAATTATGATAAAGAAAAATTGTATAGACAATAAAATTATTTATATTTTTTGCAATAAGCACTTTAGTATTTCCCATTATTATAATAATATTGCTATTATCTTCAAAGGTTGGTTCTTTGTAAGGAGTTTATTATGGAGCTGATAAAATATTGGTGAAGTTTTTTTTAGAAAAAGGTCACTTTAAGAATACATCTGAAAGATAAGCCTTAATATCATACCTCTTCATATATTGGATCCCCTGTCAGTCTACTAAGTGCTCCAAACTCTATTATAAATGTTCCAACTCCTGCAGTGCATGTTATGGATGTTTCTCCTTCTGGTACTCCATATCGCAAATTTACAGTGCCATAAGGCATACCTGAATAATTAGTTGTATAAATATATTCATTGAATTCATTTAAAATAATATATTATTTTAAAATGTATCAAATAATTTTTGAAAAAAAAATTGATATAAAATTTGTATACCAGTTGGTGTATTAAATGCTGGTAGAAGCCTTCTAGCAACATCCTCAGCTAATCTCAAAAGTGGACCATTGCAAGGCCAACCTGGTTCTATGTCAATGCCTGCCCTAACACAAATAACATTCATTCAGAGCAAAACTTTAAACCTATTGCTTATATTCACCTAAATGACATAAGATGGGCACTTATTAAACCTCCGACAATCCTTATATTAGTTTCAAATACTGATACATTAATGTTTGTATCAAAGTTTGCTTTGCTAATTATAATATCTACAGCACGTCTAAATTCTGTATAATTTCCCATCACAGCCAGTGTGTCTAAAGCATCCACAAGAGTCAGGGAATAACTATAAATATGAATATAAATAATCAGAAACATATTGATACAAATTCATCAATTATTCTTGCACATATTATTTATATAAAGAGTTGTAATTATTTCAGTAATTTATTTAGATTATATTTTACTATGTAGCAATATTGAAATCATCTTTATAAATATTTATAAACACATACACATATGAATGTAATATGGTAAGTTTTCTAGCAACCATTTTGACATAGAAAAAATTGCCTAGCAAACGTTTCGAGTCCTGGTTTGAATCAGGAAATTGAAAATCAATTCAATATTGAAGCTTGAATACAATAATTTGATTAATCTTAACAACAATCTGTACCAAAACAAACTTTTATATATCGTAATAATATAACACCAATAAAATATATAAAAATAAGTTTATATTTATTACCTTCCCCAAGTATTAACACCATCGCAAGTCAATGGTCTCAATTCATCATAATCTGATGCATATTTTAAATAACCATTATAAGCATGCTGGAACATTTGACGAACCTCTTCACTAAAATAAAAATTATATCGTAAAATGTCTGTGTTGCAAATCTCTTTCTAAAACAGTTACAATAAGTTGTGAATCTTACCGTAATTTAAGCATGTCATGTTTTGAATATTTTCTTATGGAAAAAATTGGTGTAAACATAGTTAAAAAAACTAAAACACGCAGACTGACCATTATTAATCAATGTGTTGTTATAGTATGGTTATAATATAAATATATTATATTATTGTATATCATATTATAACCCTAATATGATGTATTCGTGTGATAAACTTGACTATTTTTCTTCTTGCATGCTTCTTGTGTCATATTCATTTTTAGTCCGAGGTTGAACCAACACTCATTAAAATTTGAAGTTTAAAAACAGCTAAACTACTTTCATAGTCATAAAGTTTTTTTTAGTAAAAATAAGTTATTAATTTGAAATTCATAATATTTATTAACTTAAAATTCACATATCTGAAAGTAGTATTTATCAAAAGCTATATATTTGGGTCATAATAAATAATAAATTCACCGTGAACACCGTAATGAACATTCTGATTTTATATGTCATGTACTCCCGGACTTCCTAGGTCATTAGTTGCAATTGTCAAACTGTCAAACATCCTAGTCAAACATCTTCGTGTGGTCAAAAAAATATGTAGTAACCTGAAACTGCATATAAAATAATTACCCGAAATATATATTTACATTTTTCGCATGTCAAAATAGTTTTCAAGTGCACTAAACTTTCTTATATAAATTTACTTTATTTAATTTATCATTAATAAAATGGACAAAATAATTGCAGTTCTTTTACTATTTTGCTTTAAATGTATAGCCGGTGTAAGAAATACATTAATTGCATTAATATTATATTTCAATAATTTTAATTTAATAAATTATTCATACTATAGGTAATGGAATATGATGGAAGGTTACATATAAAATTGTATCATGCACTAGACTTAAAAAATAAAGAATTTTTTGAAGAAAGAGGTAATATAACATTTGAAACAACTAGGAGCACTTTCTATGCTATTAATCAGTTAGATCTAAATCCAAATCAACAGATTAATTTACAGGTACCTAAAATAGTACTTTTAACACTTTGATTTTCACAAATATCTTTACTTGAATAACATACTTCATGCATGCATTTTTAGAATCTTGCTGACCAGGATGAGATGTACCGATTGAAAAGTATAGTGGTAAATTCAGACGGAAGTAAAGTAACATATCTATCAAGTGTAAAGGCTGTAAGTGTATGAAAGTAGATTTTGGATTTTTTCAAAAACAAAGTTTTAAAAATTATCACATATCAAGCAAACAATTGATGATAAAAGTAACAAGTTAACATAATCAAACATAGTTATCAAATTCACTCAAGGAAAGAAAATAACTTTTTATAATCATTATTTCTTATAGCCATATTTCTAATATGAATTTTGTATTTTTTTTTAGAGATCGCTTACTGCAGGTGGATTAGACGATATAATAACAATATATTTAGCACACTCTGGTTTTGTGATGGGAATTTCAGAGTCTGTATCCTCAGATATCATAGAAAGCAAACTAAATAATAATAAATTTAAAACTGTGGTTCAAATCAAACACATGCAATCAGCACCAATGTGAGAATTATAAAATGAATTTAGATACTTAATTTACTCAAAAAAATTCATCATATTTATTTCCGTATTGTATTTAAAACTTTTCACCATACACATATATACAAGTTGTTTTGAATATTATTTTAGACCAGACACAGCAAGTTATATTCAAAAGCTAGAAAGAGAAAAAGAAGCTAGAGAACGGGGAGAAGTAAAAGATAATAGATCCTTTTTAGCAAAATATGTAAGTTTTTCTTTTGATCATTGAATGAAGTATAACCAGGTTTTAATATTATTACCAATATTCTTCCCATAAACTCTTTTAGTGGATGTACATTGTTCCAATAGCAATATTTGTATTAATTTCTGGAGCAGCAAATCCTGAAGCACAGTCAGGTGGCCGATAGTTGAACATTCATGTCATTTCTGTGTAAATAATTTATATTAGAATAGGAATGGTTTTGTAATATTTGTCAAAGATATTGAAATAATATATTCATGTATGCATATAACCACTGTTTCATTGTTTGTAAAACCTGTCAATGATATTATGTATTATATACAATAATATTATATTATATTATTCTTCTAAAAGGAAAAATACAATTGAGTACCTGAACTATTAAATTTTGAAATAACAAACATATTTTATTTTAATGCAACTTTGTTGCATCTATATTTATTATATACATCGTTTGAAAATGATTATACACTCAAACATAAATGTTTAATACAAATTATGGAATGAAAGCATATTCATGTGAAAATTTATCAAAAAAACGAACATTTTTATGCAACTAAATGACATTAGATTTATGATTACTTCATTTAATAAATTAATATATTATATTTGAATAAATTCATAAGTTTTATGTAACAAAAATAATAAATGACAATCATAATTCAAAATGCTGTTTAGGAATATCTTACTAAAAATGTTAATGCCCATAAATAGTAAGTTATTTTTTCAAAATGAAATTCACAGAAAAACTATTATTGCAGTTATTGGTTATAAACTATGTTCAGTTGAATTGGTTTATAAAGCCACAATACAAAGATAGTGCGCATATGGATGTGAACAACAAGTTAGGGGTGTGAAAATATGTGAAGCATGAAACTTAATTTATTCCACATCCATTTTGTCCTCTGGAGGAGACTGATTATCACCCTGTGCATTACTGTTAGTACCTTCCTCTTCTGCTTGTTGGGTCGCAGGCGGTGTGGGGGCTTTCGGTTTTGGTTTGTTTAAGATTGGGATAATTGCCTGATCTAAGGTCTGCTTTTCTTGACGTATCTGTTGCACAGTGATTGGTGGATTTATTGTTTTCGGAGTTGATGCCAATATTGTACGCTTTTCTTCCAACCACTTATATGCTGCTTCAACAGCCATTGCAACCTGAAAATATAAATGTTTCTATCAAAATTGCTCAAATTTTTTAACAATAATATGGTTAATATATTCGAGATATAATAAAATTAGTTCAACTTATGTACAACATAAAAATCACATCGCATTTTTCAATTATGTTCTAAAGGATTTGTATGTAGTACATAAACAATTAATATTTATAAATTCTATTTAATGTTAACCTTGTTAATATCACTATCAGTCAGATGATCATATCTAGGATCTTTATTGTTACACATATCTACTGCTTTCCTTCCTAATTGAATAGCTTGACCTAATTCTTCTAGTGCAGAAGGCCTTAAATCATACTCTAATCTTCGAGCTTTAACTGGTTCTCCTTGTGTTCTTAGTGCAGTTAATTTATCAAAGTAGATCTGAAAAATATAAATTCATGAACAATTTTAGAACTTAAAGACCGAAAAGTAATAATTGGAATAAAATTAATAAACAATATATGTACATACATACTAATATTTTTCATTCATATACAAAACACTAAGTTAATAAGAGCTAAGTATAACATAATGGTTTTTTATTATCAAATTTAGATATGTCATGTATGAAACAGATAATTCAACAATCTATAATAAAAATGAATGAGGTCTAAAATAATAAATTTTAGGATTCTTTTAAAAATAAATTATTTAAATTCAGACAAAAACCTTATACAGTATGAAAATATTAGGCTACTTACTTGTCTTTGACAATCTTCACCATCTTCATACAGCCAATTTTCCATTGCATCTAAATCGCTGCATAATTGTGATCGTTCTTGCTCTGGTAAAAACATGGCCAATTGATCTTCAGATTGTAATTTGCCTCGCAATTCATAAACATATTCTTCCAAAGCATTTCTAGCATCCGCCCTCTCTTTTTCTTGTTTATCTGATGAAATCATTTTGCACTAAAAATACAAACTTTAATTTAGTGAATTTATTCTTATGAAAAATGCTTGGTTTGGATGAGTTTTCAGTTATAAGAAACAAAAGCAATCAACTCCACTACAGTATTTCAATTCTACATACTCACCTCTTGTTCAAAATAATTATTCAGATCCGATTGGGTATATCCATGAGTGTAAGCATCAATAGGGAGCTCAGTTGATTTAACAGTAATTTTCTTTTCTTTCTTCTTATCCTTTTTGTCAGAAGCATTGAGATCATTTTGATGATCCTATAAGCATGCAAAGCTTTAAAATGTAATAAATAGTAAAATACTATCGCACATGCTTGTCCCTCTTTCAGTGTTTCTATTGTGAGATTGACATTAATATATTTTTTTTCTCAATAACATGTGCTTAAACTTTTCTTACAGCAAGATGTATCAGACAAGCATGTGCGCAAAAGCTAAAATTTGACTTTAATTATATAATTAGGAGAATCACAATTATGCATTCAAAACAACTGGGTATATAAATAAAGAACACATATATTATGTTTATACATGCATACCCACATACACACTAATACATAAACAGATAAAAATATACCTAACTACATACATATATCTAGACATATGTATATATACTCATAAATACACTAATATTTACAATTTTTATTGCAAATATTGTTGTATACTTTTAAATATAATAGTTTAAAAAATTGGGACAAGCTTGTGCGACAGTATTCAGTTCTGTGGTATGAATTATCACAGTAACGTACCGAACTGAACCATTGTGTGACACGTTGTGCCCACCCAGCCTCTTGGGCTGTATCTCCTAATCCTACCTCTTCATTTCCAGCGCAACCAGATCCTCCATTAGGTTCAGATTTTGAATTTTCTTGGTCCATATTTTCAACACCTTCTTGTTCTTGTTGCATGGCTTCAGGCTCATTACTCTGATGTTTCTCTAGGAGGCATGCACTTGATATATGTACAATACCATGGATATTCACACGAACCTTGATTTTGATTTTTTGACTTTCTCCTTCAGGTGTTGGACGAATGTCTCTTATTGTCCAAGATCCTAATAATATCATTACATAGTTTATGTTTGATGAATTTCAACGAGTTAATATTAGTATTTGATTTTGAGATAGATTTATTCTTTACTCACCAATCAACGGATCTGGGAAAGGTACAGGATGTGAGTATACTGCTTTGATGGCAAAAGGTTCTTTTCTATAAAAGGTCAACATTTTACTGAATGGTGCAGCATGATAGGCAGGAAATACTTCCATTTCACCCTCTTCACCTGCACTTGCATCCCAAACTAGCTTAACAGGATAGTTCTGAAAATATTATAACCATTTTTAAGTAATTAATATGCATAACACATTTGTATCAATGTTGTAAACAGCATTTGCTGTTTACAGATTTTGGCAAAAATAATATTTGTAAAGATTTGCCTTACAATTTTTAAAAGAATTGTTATAAACAAAAAAAGTTTAAAGTTCTTATTACCTGTATGTCAGTCACGCTAAAGTCACGAACTCGAACAGCAGGACTGAGCATAGCACACTGCAAAGCAGCTCCACGAGCTACAGCTTCATCTTGGTTTAATGTAGTACTAGGGCTTTTACCAAACACACTTTCTATCAAATGTTTTATGTAAGGTATTCGGCTACTGCCTCCAACAATTTCCACCGAATGTATTTCATCAAGGCGCAATTCTAAAAATACATGTTCATGTGATTAATTAAGAAAAACAAAGAAAAGTTTGAGTGTGTCTGAATGCCAAAAAAAACATTATGGATGCAATCATGATGTCCCATAACTTACTCGAATCATCCAAACATTTCTTCAATGTTCTCCCTACTCTTTGGAATAAACCAGCACATAGTTCCTCCATAATTGATCTTTGCATCTCGCTGTGAACATCCTTATCTTCCATAAAACATTCTATATTTAATGGCAATTTTGTACTGTTTGCAGACATTTGCTTTTTTATTTTCTCTACTTCAGCCAGTAGTCTAATGTATGCTCTAGCATTACTCTTTGCATCAATCCTATAGCGTGATTTGAATTCATTACAAAAATGTTCTGCTAGTATCATATCTATGTCACGACCTCCGCAATGAGGATCTGATGCACAGGCTATCATCCGCAATTTACCACGATGAAAGGCGCATGAATAAACCTACAATATTTAAGAATTATTTTTTAATAAATACAACAATATTGAAATACAACATTGAAAACAATATTTAGTTCAAAACTTTAGTGGTAAATTTTAGTTTTAAATATCATAATACTTTTAAAATTTTAATACACATGCAAAGAAGAAATTCTCAATATGTTATTTTATTAACCTGTAATGATGCATGACCACAATCGACAAATACAACATTACGTGGTTTGTCCTCTGGAGCTGGCAAATCTTGTTTATATATACCATAAGCAAGAGCTGTGGCTGTTGTTTCGTTCATCAATCTTAACACATTCAGACCTGGAAATTAAATACATGCTTGAGTGTAAAAAAAATATATCAAGTATTTAACTTGCACCAAAAAGAAAGATTCTGTATATAAGCATAAAATGTTAATGCACACTGTAATAAATTACTTTAACTGTTAACTCACTTATACAAAAGTTTATTAAAAAAATATTTACTGAATTAGATAGCGTTCAAATTAATGTTGTGATAGGTATTTCATTAATTACAGATGTAAGTTATTTTGTACAATTTATTAAAATGGTACATATTAGTGATACATGTTTTACAAACTACAATAAGATGCATACCAGCAATAGAAGCAGCATCCAACAATGCCCTTCTTTCTGCATTTGTGAAGTATGATGGCACAGAAATAACACAATCATTAACTTGAGTTTGAAGAGCATTTGCAGAAGTTTCTTTAAGCTTTGTAAATAACATTGCGGTCACTTGTTCAGGTGAAAACACATGCTCTTCATCCAAGTAATGTACCTATGACAGTTTTATTTTATTTTATAACGAGAAAAAAAATCCAATGCATATATAGCAATAAACACCAAAGACTATGTGTTTACTTTGTAAATAAAATAAAAGTTTTATTTAAACTGTTATTAAACATATTGCATACTTCCATAATATATAATAAAATATACTTTTTATTATTTCATTCGATTAAATAAAACAAAATCAATTGTGTTAATAAATCACTGCATTTGGTAGTATATTCCAAATTTTTTAAAATAACATTCAAAAAAGTCTAAATATGAGATATTATGAGCTAATACTGATTAAGAATTTTTACCCGAATTCCAATGCCACCATCAGGTCTCTGTTCGGTTCGAAATGGCAAAGAACGTAATTCATTTTGAACATGAGGATCATTATACCTGCGCCCCAAAAGGCGTTTAAAACCCCATACAGTGTTTTTCATATTTGTGACCAATTGGTTTTTGGCAGCAACACCCAGCACACGATTCTTTCCAGAAAATGCCACACATGATCTAACAAGAATTTAATATATAAGCTGAATATGATGATTTAAGAAGATAATGAGCATGTGTTTTGTTTGAAGTAAATGTACTTTTAAATAAACAATGCAGTAAATACATGTGCAGATTGCTATATAAGAAAGTGGCAATCAATGTCTATCACAAAAAAGTAAAATTTCTATTACAATTTTGGTATGTCCTTGAAAAAATAATTAAGGTAATAAATAATATGGTATATAGGTTAAACTTAAATTGTAATAACGCGGTAATATGAGTAGTATATTATTTTATAGATTTTTGTTATCAATATGAGATTTTATTAATGCTTTGATATAAAAAAACGCATGGTCTGATAACCCACCCGGCATACTCATTATTGCACAATCACTGCACGTTACACTATTGCTTCTTATATTTTTGTTATCAATCAACTACTAAAACAGAAAACTTACGGAGTTCCTCGCAAGCTATAATCGTTAGCTATAGTTTCAATGCCACCTGATTTTGCAACAGCGACATAACAAGATTCATTTCCAAAATCAATTCCAATAACAGACATAGCAGCCATTGTGTAATATTAATTAATCACTTCTCCTCCGAAAATTTTAAGTTTATATACTGAACGTATATATAGATATGTCAACCTTATTTGGAAAATTCTAGAAACTAATGGATGACAAATTTCGAGCTGTTTCTCGAAATCTCCGTTAAGTACTTGGTACCAATTCTTACTGCGCTGAACTTGCTCAAATATATACGAAAATTCCAGAAATTTGTTAGGTTACCTGATGACATAACTAAGCAGGCAGCGACATCAGTAATGGAATTTGACAAAACTGAAACGCGGGATTTTTGAAATTTTAATAGAGTATCCTCTGTTCATTCACATTTAAATTCTTGGGAAACAAATTATTGTATTTTGTATTAATTGTTATTAATTAATAATTATTACCTGCTTCAGAACTAAGATATAGGTATGTTTGTCTAAAGCATCTAATTTATCAATTGAAACTGTGTTTTTAGAAGCTAATCTGAAAAAAAAGTCTACATATTTAACTATATTTCTGACCTTCTGTATTTGGCAACTATCTTTTATATGTATGATTGCATGCTGCTAGAAATAACATCAAATTAAAAAAACATCATTAGTGTACTACACAAATAATTTATTCAATATAATCTACAATAACATATTATCAAATTTAAACATCATTTTCATAATCAGCTGGATTTTTCCTCTGCAATTGAGCATACTTCTTTTCAACAGTATCATAAACCAAATATGCTATTATAGTTGCTGAAATATAAAATATTTTATATAGAAATAAATATCAATTGTTAATAAAGTATAAATTATATTCATTTCATGTTATTCAAGTATATGTTATATACATTTTGATATATGTATTTATAGATTTGATAAATAAATAAAATGGCTTAGCAATCAGAAATTAAAGCATTATTAATCCAAATATTGTGGTCTATCAAGAACTCATTCGTTGAAGAGATGAAAAAAGAAACTTATAATTTAGAATATTATTTCCTCGGTAAAAACATATTTATTGTTAAAAATATGCAGACATATATATATATATATATATATATATATATATATATATATATATATATTGATTGTTTCTTTTCCGAACAGTAAATCCAATAATAAAAAACAATTTGTTTTTTGAAGATGTTTAATACGACGTTTCGGAACTAGGTACGTTCCATCATCAGGTTTATTCTGTCACATACAATGTTTTTTAAAAATATTGATTAACATTAAAAAACATTGTATTTGACAGAATAAACCTGATGATGGAACGTACCTAGTTCCGAAACGTCATATTAAACATCTTCAAAAAACAAATTGTTTTTTATTTACTGTTCGGAAAAGAAACAATCAATATATTGAAAAAATCCAGGACTTACTACATATCAATATAATATAATCATATAATTAATTCTGTCAACATATAATTATCAAAATTATAAGCATATCTAAATTTAGTCGCTGTTCAATATTAGCAGCAACAATAACTTACGGGGTAAGATTATGAAGGCGCTTTCGCGAATTCGCCTCAAGGTATTTGGTAAGCCTTTGGAAATTAGTCCTGCAAATGCCTTTTGTTCAAATGGGGATAGCGTGTATGAAACCAATCCTCGGATTTTGTAAAGTTCTCCAAAATGTTTACCCATACTTGCCTAAAAAGTATTGATTGATATGTATTGAATTACATAATTGCTTGAACAATTACCGAAATTGAATACAATGTAAACTATTTACTACAAACACCTCAGAGACGGATACTTATGACAAGAGTAATATAATTACTTATTATTCTAAATATTGTGGAAACTCACTTGTTTTTGTTAATTTACAGTCAAATAAGAATAAAAGTTTCGAGGTTGGTTGGAGAAAGACGTCAAGTTAAAGACGAGAATGAAGTTACCTTTGAATCATCAAATCGCAAAAAGTAAAAAAGTTTACTTACAGATTGTATTTTATTTTTAATCCAAAATAATTGAATAGTATTTTGTTCCTGGCAAAGATTTTCGTTTTTTATTACTTTCGGGATTAATTTTACAAGTTCGCCTGCCGCGTCTTTGATTAGATTTAGATTAATCAGAATCGGCAACAAATTTCTGTGACATGTCTGTGACTTTCTGTAAAATACTACAAACTTCAAGGTGGTTCTAAACTTGAAAGCAAGTTGACAGTTTAGTACCTATATAATTTATTATATTGTCTAGGCTATATAACCTTATTGCTTTACTAAAAAATATATATAATAATCTCTGATCTTGTGGCAGAAATAATTTAAATGTTTTAAATAGCTTTCAATAAAGAATAACTAATATAGTATCCAATTAATTAGTCTCCTGTCAGCATGTCTACACGATGGTAGTTGTAATAACATTTTCATGCCATTTTAATTATAGCAATAATTTTAACACTTTTATATATAGGTACCCTCTTTATCAAAGAGGCAATCCACAGCTGAGAGTATTCTTACCAAACTTCTGGTTGAAATTAATAAGACCTGTTCATGAACAACCACCAAATGTTGTGCAATTCGCCTGTTCCATGCAAATGACAAAATACGATATAAAAAACTATTTAGAAAAAATATACAATGTTCCAATCATAGATGTGAGAACAAGAATTCAATTAGGTAAAACTAAACGAGATTTGAAAGGATATATTGTAAAAGAAGAAGATACTAAATTAGCTTATGTTACATTGGTAAGAAATATTAACATCAATTTCATTCTATCAGAAATACTCAAACATTTTGATATAGATTTATTTATATATATTTAAAAATAACTTCTTTAATAGAAAAGAAAAGAATTTTGTTTGCTACTTTTAAATTTAATAATTGAAATGTAAATTAATGCTTTTTTATGTTATAATTCTTATATTTTTGTAGCCTAAAGAAGAAGTATTTGAATTTCCTAATATTTTCAAAAAAGATGAAGAGAGTCAGTATCAAGAAGATATGAAAAGTATGAATGAATCAAAGAAACTTTATAAAAATTACCTTGAAAGAAATAAAAATTCACCCGGTACACCAGGATGGTTTTCGTTTTAGTATCAATGTAAAAACAAGCAAGGAATGGTAGAAATAAAAAATTAGAATGATTGAGAATGCTACTTACATAAAAGTTTGCTGTATTAATAATAAAATATATGTGCAAATAAAATTAATAAAGAAATTTGTTTTGGTTTAATTACTACAATTTACATAATGAATTTCTGGTTTAAAAATATTTGAGCTTTTACGTGCTACTGTGAATGGAAAACCGCCTTCAACATTGTGACAGGCTGCTCCGAAATTACCAAATTTGTCAACAACTACAATGCCACCAACAAAGTCAGGATAACGATATGAAATTCGTTGCATAGCAATTTGTCCAGATCTTGATGGAGTTTCACCATTGCGCATACTTTCCACTGCTATTAAGCTATGAAAAAAAAATCAATAGTATTACTATAGTAATTATACTATAGTATAATAAATAAAATGAATGTCATATATATTTTTACAATGTTTAAAAACAATTTTTAATTTAATTTTTTCAAAATTTGTAAAAATTCTTTTACATACTGTTTATTAAATAAAAAACTTTGCTGAATAATGATACATGAAATATATAAATAAATTGATCATTATTTATTGTTCTTTTAATTCGACGATTGGCTTCAAATTAACATTCCAAGAATATATATATATATATATATATATATATATATATATATATATATACTTTAATGTGAAACAACTGACATGATAAAAGAAAGTAGAATTATTACCTAGGAAGAAATCGCATCATTACATCACCATCTCCAGTAGCAGCTGCTCCCCCTATTTCTTCATCCACATAAGCTCCTGCTCCGGGTATTGGAGAATCACCCACTCTTCTACAATTTTATAACATATTTAGTTAATTAATTACAACTTATCCTTAACTTAAATCATATATATATTTGATTGCATATTTACCCAGGAATTTTATGTTTAGCCCCATTGGTTGATGTTCCTGCAGCCATATGGCCATCGGTATCCAAAACTACCATTCCTATTGTATCATGATTGTGAATACCAAAATTTTTTTCACTTCTAATATCATCACTATAATCGTTTTCTGAATGACTTTTGGGTTTATAAGGGCCACAAAATTGGCTAGGATCAGGTACAACATTCTACAAATAATATATAGGGGTAAAACTTATATAATTACACACAAAAATATTTAGAAAATTGCAAAATCAATTGATTAAAACTTGTAAAGATATAAATAAATTTGAAATATTTTAACTGTAGTATTTTCACAATATACTACGTCTGTGAATATTTTCACAGCTATATTATTTGTGCATATTATAAAAATAAAATAATCTCACAGTTCTAAAGTTTGGTTGGCAATGCATTTGCTTCCAAGAGGTCCACATATCATGAGATTCAGTAGTTGATAAAGATTCTTCAACAAATCCTGCTTCTAATGCAAACTGAGTTGCTAGGTCTCCAACAATCATTGAATGCTCTGTATTATGTAGGACATGCCTTGCCACAGATATTGCATTCTTTATTCTACGTAAACCAGCTACTGCTCCCATATTAAGAGTTTTACTAAAAAATGTGAGAAATACACATATTAATTCATTCATTGCTTTGAGTTTCATTAATTAACTTCTTAGTAAGTGACATTATTCGCAATAAAATTACCCATCCATTATTAGAGCATCAAGTGTGGTTTCACCGTTCTCATCAGGACTTCCACCAAAACCTACAGTCCCATCGCATTGTTGCAATTCACAAACACTGCATCCACTTTCAACTGCATCGATGGCTGTTAGTTGTTTTTCATATACTGTGCTCCAGGCTAATGAAAATTGCAATTAAATATATTGTTACTAAACCATATGTAATCAATTTCGTCATACCTTTTGCTGTAGCATTTGTAAATTTCCAAGTTGTGATAACTAGAGGTTTGTTGGTATATTTCTGATCACCATAGACAGAATAAGAACCAACAATTAAAATTATGAAGATACATGAAATTGATATACACATTTTTCAAGTATTTTATCCACTCTGAATTGAAGGTTTAATAAAATCATGTATTAGAAGATAAATGTAGGATGAGACTAAGCTCAGATAGAAGATACAATAGGGCTTTTATAATTAACATAGACTTTGCACATTCTGATAAGAAGAGAATCACTGTATGATTTTTCGATAATTCTTGTTAAAAGCGTTATTTATTATTTGGCAGATTTTAAATTTAGGTAAAATAGGAAAGAAAGTATTTAATTGTATTTGTCAACAATTATATTTATATACTTTGATTCTACATAACCTTGCTTTATATGACTCTTACTTTGTACTTAAGTAACAGCATTAATATATTGTTTAATTTCTTATTTTAAAAATACGAATAAATAAACAAAAATTTTATCAATAAAATCTTTATGATAAAACTTAATTTAATATTATCAACCGATGCTAAAGATCGTTAATTCGAATAGGCACGCACTTCGCGCAATTCTACTTCACCTCAATATTATCACCTATAAAATAAAATAAATTTTAATTTTAATTGATTATCACCTATATTTAATGTTAATTTAAATATTATAATTTTAGAACTCAAACATTATATAAGAAAAAAGCTAAAATGCTTTGTTTGTTACTACATGTTTTTGTATCAATAATATAAAAAAGTATAGTTTGAAAAATGATCCATATTAATTAAAGTAATAAGAACTTAAATGTGTATTGTTAAACAAAATAAAAGAAAATAAATATGGCTTTAATAAAAGAAATGTATTAATTATTACATTAAAATCATGAAGATACACGTGTATACACGTTTTGTACAAAAGTGAAGAAAATTTAAGATCGGAGAAAAGTTAACTTTAATAAATAACTTAATTTGAATTGAAATTTCAATAATATATAAAGTTGAATATACATATATATATATATATATATATATATATATATATGAAATTTCAATTTAAATTGAGTAAACATTAAATAAATTCAAATTAATACTTTACATTACATATCGTACACATAAATGTTTGATAAACTTAAATTAACATCAAGTAACTATAATTATAACATTGAGCATCATATTTGTGATGCTCTGTATATGTTTCAAATGTTAAATACTTTTATAAACTCTGAAAATATAATGAAACTTTGGTATTACTTGCCAGTCGGAAAATTTGATGGCATTTTTACTTTAATTTAAAATTATATTTTATTATTATTAATTTCAAAAGTGAGTGCAGTCTTCTTCTCAATTTTTGATGCTGGGGCAACAAACACTTGTCGACTGCCATCAATTTCTTTCAACATAAATTCACCCACTTTGCATCTTAAGCAGATCTGATGATCCATGAGAAAAGCAATCTAAAGACGATTAATCAAAATTATACTTAATATATATATATATATATATATATATATATATATATAATATAATATACTAAATTATAAACTATTTATTGTTTCCTATATATCGTTATATATATATAAAACTAAATCATAAATATTTTTATTTTTTTATAAACTCCAATAAGTATTATTGAATCAAAGCTAATTATACGAACAACATATGACAACTTTTCATTCGTAGATAGTATAGTACCTACTCCAGAAAATATATTTTCAGTTTTAATTTATTAAACGAAGGTAATCCTTTAAAATTGTTTGATTAGAGAAAATGTGATTAGACATTTCTTCCATACTCACTCGTGGATGATCAGGGCAAGTTAGTCTCTTTCGTCCATTCATAATATGTCCACAATTTCTGCACAAGACAAATCTCGATTTATTACGATAACAAATGCAATTAAGTTTGTTATTTATCTTGGCTAAATTATTCGTATAATCACAACCACGTCCAATCGGGCGGAATTCGCTAGGACAAGTCACATAATTCTCCTCAACAATTTCGTCAACTGGACGAACTTGAACTCTTTCCATTCTTTCAAATATTATTAATGTTAAATCAGAATTTCTTCCTTTAAAACAGAAATACGTTTACGTCGTGCGTAACAATAACAACGGATAAATCGGATAAGTGAAGGTGAAGCACCAAATACGATAGAACATCTACCAACAAAATAAATTAAAAATACTTTTGTTTTAAGAAAACAAAGAAAGTTGCAACTTAATAATGATAAATGGCGGTAAATCAAATTTTTTTGCTATTTATGTGAATCACATATTATTTTCTTTAAATTATTCTATAATATATGCATTGTAAAAATAATATAATGTTATAATAATATAGCTTTAATTTATATATATAAATAAATAAATTTATTCAATCTTTCATAATTTATAACAAGGATTAGCTACATTGATATTAACTTATACATTGTAACTAATATATAATCTTAAAACTATATTCACAATCAGTACATTATAATACAATTATAATAGTTCAGTCTATACTTACATAAATTAAAATTAAACAGATATATACATATAGAAGGCATAAAAACTACAGAATAATAATATAATCCATGCTGATTTTAAGCATATCATCCAAATAAGATCATTTAATTTTAATTTAATAATTATTAAATTAAAAAAAATTATATTGTTAACAATATAAAAATTTAGTTATTCTCAATCTTTCAACAAGAAAATAGTTAATAATGAACACAACACATATATAATATGTACAACTAATTTAGGCACCTTTTGGTTTCAGTTTTTTATATTTAAAGCCTTTGAAAGCACAAAGATTTCTCAGTAATTTTTGAGCAAATTTTTACCTACAATGTACTTGTTAAATATACCTGTAATATGAGTTTTATGTATTCGGAAACTAATTGTTACATGTGATACAATGTCATGCCAACATGCCAACATGCCAACATGCCAACATGACTACTTTCAAGCAGATGTGGTTGATAAATGTTATTTGATATCAAGCCGTATAAAAGAGCCCATGGGTCATTATCCACCACTTGTTAACAGTATCACACATATATATATATATATATATATATATATATATATATATATATATATATATATATATATATATACATAGATCAATATGTAAATTCAACAATAAATATTAAAACTAATCATATCCTCTGCATGGCGAAGGTACTGGTGAGGGAGGCGGTGGTAATGGAGAAAAATATGTTGAAGAACGACTACTTGGAGAAGGTGGGCAACTTTCTGGTAAAATACCTGCATCGCTATGATAATAAGATCTGGGAGTAGGCGGAGGAGGAAATGGTTCACTTTCATAGTGATACCTTGATGGATAATTAGAATCAGATTCGTCACATACATCTGTGGAACAAGGTGTAGGTGGAGGGGGTTGATTGATAGATCGATAGTGTCTGTAAGGCCGATATCTTGATGCGGTTGCACTACTATATCTTGTCGAACTTGCTGTAGTCGCAGGACTGGGAGGAGGATTTAATGTCTCTCTGGGATAACAAGTAAGACTTGATCCATTTGTTGCTGAGCTAGATGCCCCTGTTATATGTTTTCTATCATAACTATTTGAACTGCTTGTATTGCAGTTTAATGTAGACATTCGTACATCATGCCCTGATATTTTACCTAATTTATGTTGTTCAGTACTTAAGCAAATATCAGGAACTGTTTGTCTAGGAGATAAAGGATCTTCAGATTGATCATCAATTCTTGTAATATTATTTTTGGACATATGTCTTCTGAAGTAATACATAATTAAGGCAAATATGACTAAAACTGGTACAACTACCAACACACCAATAATATACGAATATTTATCAGAGTCTGATGATACAGTTTCTGTTCTTCGATTGCTTTCTTGTATACAAATTGCATCTGATTCATCAGCTTCATCCGGACAATGAGCCCAACCATCGCAAAGAAAATTTGAAGAAATACAGACACCATTTGAAGGGCATTGGTAGTCATCAGGATTGCTGCAACATCTAGCTTCATCATATGCATCAGGGCATTGAGTAGTGCCATCACATACCCAATTCTTATCTATACATTGGCCAGACTTGCAGCGAAATTGATCAGAATGACATGTTGGACAATCTATTTCATCAGTTCCTTGTGGACAATCTGCATGGCCATCGCATCTGAAATCACAAAACATGTATGTAAATAATTTGCAGCTTAATGTCTAATTAACAAAATGAGATCATTTTGTCTTAACGTTTAATAAGAATATTCATAAACATACCTCCACGACAATGGTATGCATTCTTTATTACTGCTACTTAATGGTGTATTCATATTAGGACATGTAAACTGAGTAGGTTCACAAGCTGGTCGTTGACCACAGGACCTTCTATCTTCATGTAATACTAATCCAGCTGGACAGCCACATACATCATTGTTCTCTGATTCTTCAGACCACACGCATATATGAGAACAGTGTCCCATTTGATTTGATTTACTGCATGTATGATTTTCCATTGCCTATTGAAATAAAATACAACTCACTCTTTTGCTGACTCATCCATTATATATGTATGTCTCTTCTACTGATAGTTCATTTGCCTATAGGCTATTTATGGTCTATGAATATATATTGTATTTTCACAAATATAAATATATATTGGTAAAAAAGATTTTTGAAGAAGAATAGAATATAAATTACCTTTGTAAGAATAGGATAAACAGATACTAAATCAGTTAAATGGGACATTCCTTGAAGCAAAGCTGGCCACTCAACACCTTTTTTAACATCAATTCTTTTAACTTCTTGTTGTTCTCTATCAAGACAGTACAGAAACCCATCCAAACTGGCCATTGTTGAAATCTGGATCAACTGAGTTGCTACCAGCACTTTTCTATAGACATAGGTATATATATATATATATATATATATATATATATATATATATACACATGTATGAACACTTGTGCATATATACTTATTAAATATCATAATTGTGTGTGCATATGTGTATGTGTTGATTAAAGTATAAAATCTATTTGAAATCATCATCTGGCTGAAACCAATGGCATTGATACTGATAGAGATCTTGCAAGCCAAGCTTTAGCAATTTTGAAACTTTATTCTAAAAGTTCTAAATTCATTGGAAATATGATGATTGAAAAATGGTTAGTTAGAATAAAATTTGAAAATGAATAAACCATAATGATGCCTTGTAAATTGAATTCATAATAAATATTTACAATTACCTATTTTTTCCATCTAAATCTGAAACATCAATTTGGGTCGAATGTGCCCAAATACCAAGTTTAGTTCAAATCAACAGCTAAGGCAACTAGAGCTCGAAGATCTGATGCTAATGCTATTCTGCTAGAACCATCCATGCGAGCACGCATTACTCCAGCCTGAACACCAACGTCTGTCCAGAAGAGCAATCTGAAAAACAAAAATGATTGTTTTTTTTTGTTTTAACTATAAATGACTCTGACTTCATTAGTATGATTGCAGAATAATAATTCAATTTTATGAAATTCTTCAATATATATATATATATATATATATATACACATCTACATAAACATTCAATATATTGAGACCTTTTGATTGAGTGTATAGCCAAACTCCTAGGTCTTTCCTGGTCCTTTTCGTTTTAACGACAATACCAATAGAAGTCAAAGTGTCTAGATTTTGTGACATTGATAGCATCTGTCCCTGCACATGACCAAATAGTATCTGCCTAATGGATCTAGTGAAAGTCAAAAGGATGTAAAATTCCGCCAACAACTAAACTGTTTCCAGTGCCATTAACAAAGGATCTTCTAATACTTTGTGTTCGACCATCAACCTAAAGTGGTAATATTACACTAATTTGTAATACTATAATTAAATTTTTTTTCAAAATTTTAACTTGTAATTAACAATTATTATACTATTTTCAGTAGTTTTATAAATATTTTATATTACCCAGTATATATGATCAGTTGCAGAATCATATTCAACAGCCCATACATTTTTTAAACCGGAAATTGGCAGAACTGAATCAGGACAATCAGTGCTTTCTGGCATCAATCTGCCAAATGAATTTTTCTGACTAAATATAAGAAATGATGTTGGAGCTGAAATAGATATTGAATTATATACTTTATATAGACTTAAAATTAATAACTTATATACAAAATTTATATATAATTTAATTTATAAGATTTAAAAATCTTATAGCACGGATACTAACCGACACAAGTTGCATTATCTTTGTCTAGAACATAATGTGTTGAGCAAGCACATTTATATTTTATATCCTTAGAATCAGGCGACACTAGACAAAGGTGAGAACATTGATTATTGCCTTTTTTACATATATTACTTCCCATTTGTCCCGATTTATAATACGCCTTCATACTAGTGACATGCTCTATATGCTGATGAAGACGTTTTCTCATTAAGAAGTTGGTTTTATTAACACTTTCAATATTGCCTACAATTCAAAAAAAAATTAAGATTTATGATTAATAAAATTATTCAAATTATTATGATATACGCATACAAAATGATAGCTTTTAAAAATCACATTTAAAAGCTAGTTAATATGTAATGAATATCATTTTTCATTATTATATTAAATCAATAAAATTTTATTACCTGTATTGCTATCACTCCAAAATAGGTTACTATCATAGTGTGTGAGAGCATACGGATATTGCAAATCATTATTGACTAAAACTCTTCTTTTCTTAGTGTTTTATTTCAAATGATTCTATATTGGAGGAACTTGTGTTGCCCAGTATAATTTTCTGGTTCTGGGGTCTAGTGTTAATCCAGAACTTCTTTCAGCTGTAGCTATTACAGCTAGTTGTGAACCATCCATTCCTGCTTGATTAATGGCACTAGTTGACCATTCTGACCAATACATGTATCTAAAACAACAAGATATTATTAATAAAAATAAATTATTTGTCTTATATAAATATGATATATTTTTAATCACCCTCTATTTGGCTCTAAAACTATATTTCTTGGTTCTTTAATATTTTTCCATACTAAAACTCTACGATTAGAGCCATCCAGACGAGAAACTTCTATTCTATGAGATCCAGTATCACACCAATATAAATTTAAAGCCATCCAATCTATCGCTACACTTTCCGGTGACAATAGACCAAGTTCCACAACTCTGAAATATTAAAAACATGTTAAGCATAATAATCAATATTTATTATTAATATCAATAAAAAATTGAATAAGAACAATAATCATCAATTAAAGATAATTAAGTATGCTATTAAAAAAAATTAAATAATTTATAATGCTATTAATAGTAAGCATAATCGTAGCTGATTATGATTTAGTTTAGTTAATAATATTTACATTTATTTCCTTAATATTTTATAAGCATGCAGAATTATATAACAATTGCGCTTTAGATTTTAATTTAGATTTTTAATAAAATCAATTGGTTTGAATTCAAGTAAAATAATTCATTTTATTGCAAAAATATGTATATATCAAAATTAATTATAAAATTTGATCTATGTTTTCAACTCAACCTTTGAACATCAGATCCATTTAAAAATGATCTTGATATTGCCCCTATTTTTTTGTCTGCCCAATAAATTCTGGAATCGGCAATATTGTAATCTAAGGACATTGCTTCTTTCACATCTTTTTTTGTAACAATAACTTCAACATTAGAATTTTCTATACTCAATCGTTCAATACTTTCTAACCTAGATACTAATAGAAATGCTGGTGGCTCAACACAAGTCTTCTTATCTTTAGATAATTCATATCCTGAAAAAAATAATCACAGTTAAAAAACAACCAAATTGGGAACAAACCAATCGGTGATGTGCAAAATATAATTTACCTATTTGACAAGCACAAATGTAATTTTTTGGTCGATTAAGGCACAAATGTGAACAGCCCCCATTATTTTTTGAACAAGGATTACTTCCATGAACTTCATTTATTCTAACAGCTTTAAGTCCCATCAAGTTTGGAACTTGATCGATAATGACTTGCCTTTCACTACCTGCAAAACAAGAAATATAAGTCAATCAAATTACAATTGTTAGCTTCTAAAGGATTATAATTTTTTTACAAAAAAAATTAACTAAATATGTAAGTGACTAATATATCCTGGCATGTAGGACTAGGACTAATCAAATTAAATAAATATTATTAGTAATTTCAATATATATAAGAAATATGATCTAGTTTTATGAACTCACCACTGAGTTTATGCACTCTATCTATACTGCGTCTGTGCCAATCAGTCCAGTATAAGTAATCTCCAAGCAATGTAAGGCCAAATCCATGAGGTAAAGAATCACTTAAAAGTGTGTGGCGTTCTGTTCCATCTATTTTAGCCATTTCTATTCTATCTTTTTTCGCATCACACCAATAGATCATTTGATTGTCAATGTCTAATGCTATTCCTGAAAAAAAGATCATTTGTTTGTCGAGTAAAAATGTGTAGTTTGGAAAATTAATCAGCATGATAAAAATGCAAACAAACAGAAACAAAATATAAATTAATGTATCAAAAAATATGTTTATCAAGTTGTGTTGAAGAAATTAAGTCTTTTAAATAATTTAAATATCGTCAACGCCTGAAGTAATTAAATATTCTGATATTATCTTCAATGCTAAATTAAACAAACATGAGTAATATAACAAAATACATATTATAATATTTGCTTATTAAATTTGCTTATTTGCTTACCATTAGGCCATCCCAGATTAACATCTATTAGAACTAATCGTTCAGTACCATCAAGAGCAGCCCTCTCTATTTTTGGTTTATCATCATTCCAATCAGACCAGAACATCCAACCAAGTTGTGGAGCCAAGGCTATCGCTCTTGGTTCAACCAATCCCTCATTTATTAAAACTCTCCTCGACATGCCATTTAGTTTAGACACTTCGATTCTGTCCGTACCAGTATCAGTCCAGTATAGGTTTCTGGCAAGCCAGTCAACAGCCACGCCATCTGGATGTTTTACTTCGTTTGTAATTATATCTTCTTGTCCTGTTCCATCCAATCGAGCCCGTCGAATTGCATGAACCTAACAAATTATAAAACATGGAAGTATGAGAAAATATTAAAAATAAAATATTATCAAAAATAATTAGCAAAATTTATATTACCATAATATACTATATACAAGATAGGAAATAGAAAAACTAAGTTTTATTAAAATTAATTTGATACCTCATCGTCTGTCCAGTAAATGTAATTTTCAACAGGGTCAAAATCAACAGCTATGGCATGTTTGATACCACTTAGTGGCAAAATAAAATTTGTATAATCTGGTAAATCTAAACTAATTTTTCCAATATCAGTTCTTTGTACCAATAACAACAATTCCTCTGGGCCATTTGCACATCTGTAAACATAACTCTCATGAATGCACATCTAGATTAGAAAGTAATACTTAATAATTTGATATCACTATGTTATGTTTCTATAATTTTAAGGATTAAATCCTATTTTTTAACAACAACAAAAGTTTTAAAATATACATTAATTGATATCAATTAAAAAACATTATGGATTATGGTTTTCATACATTTTTTGCAAATTCATTAAAAATGAAATTTTAATGTTGAAATAACAACATTAAAACCATAACAATATTCAATACTTGTGTTAATTGTTATTCAACCTCATGCAATAATAATATGATTAATCAAATCAAATTATCAAATATATATAACAACATCTTTTCTAAATTAAAAATAATTACTTACTTATTTGGTGTAATTAATTTAACTCCAGTCGGGCAAGCACATTTGTAACCTAAAGAGTTTGAACTAAGGAGACACAAGTGACTACAGCCTCCATTGTTCACCATGCAAGGATTGTTTCCAAGAGGTTGTCTTTGTTGATTCCAAACCTGTATATCCATTGGGACTACATCAGAATGAATAAGCACCATAGGAGAAGCATTAGTAGATTTATCGTAAACGTTGACAGTCCTATTTGTATAAAAATTAATCAAAATGTATTTTTTTTTAATAAGATAGTAGTCATACTATTATTAGATATTTCTTAAAATATAAATGTGTGATTTTATATTATTGATTATTATTGTAAATAAACGATTATTTACTAATTGATTCATTATCAAAGTAAATAAATCATTTTCTCATTTAAACATACTACAATTTAAAAAGATTTAAACATACTACAATTAATTTACAAAAGCTGAAAATTTTGTCAAACTAAATTAAAATATTAAAACATACTAACCACAATTCCCAGTCAGTCCAATAAATTTTATTCTGATAGTACGATAAAGCAAAAGGGTAAGTGAGAGATCCTTGAAGAATAGTTTCACGATTCTTTCCATTGTAATCCATCGACTCAATAAATAACAATTTTCCATCTAACCAATAAATCTAGAGAATAAAAAAGATTGTTTTTTATTCAATCATTCCATGTTTATGATATTATTAATACAATATAAGTGTAACATTTACTTTGTCATGTTCATGATCTACTGTCAAACCATTAGGCCAAAATATATTTTCGGAAACGATAACAACCCTGGTATCCGGATCACCGTCCATTCCCGCTCGTTCAATCTTAGGAGTTTCGCCCCAATCAGTCCAGAACATTATTCTGAGAAAAAATAATATATTATGAGATCTTTTCGTATATAAAGGCCAACATGCCATATGAGTAAACATATTTTAATTATATATACCCTTTCATTGGTACAACTGCTATAGCTCTGAGCTGATCAATGTCGGACCAGAACAAAACTTTTCTCAATTCGCCATTCATTGAAGCAACTTCTATTTTGTTCGTTTCGCCATCAGTCCAGTAGAGTTTATCTGTCCACCAATCAATAGCAAGTCCATCCGGAGCTATTAGCCCATTCGTTATAACACTGGTCTACAAAAAATTGGTTTTTATTTACAACTGCTTTCTGGAGATCACGTACAGAATCAAACAAATATGTGAAATATAGGCACGCAAGTTTTATAAAAAAGATTAATTTGCATTAGGTTCGTTATAAAGACCATCGCAACTCCATTAATTAAATTAAAAACAAAGAAAAAAAAACACTTTCTAAATATTTTATTATATACCTTTGGACCAGAATGAGTACCGTTGTAGTGCATACAGAATATCATCTCCAAATTATGATCCGTCCAGCAAACCTTCTGAGCGGCATAATGATAGTCCATGGCAGTCGCTTCCTGAAGATCTCGCACCAGGATCGAACTAGCTCGGGAACCTGATCCTCTGGAAGTATTAAAAAGCCGCACGTCGTTGTGAGTTGCGTATAAAAGACCTGGGCCTCCTGGTATTGTGACTCGACCTGAAAACGTTGTTAAATAAATTCATTATTGACTGATAAAGCATTTATAGATAGAGAGAAAATGAACATAATAAAATACAAGAAATATCAGTAATGCTTCTAGCTAAAATTGTTCACATTAATTTATCAACATTGTCATTCATATAGTCAATCAGGTAATGAAATGTACTGTTACATATGTTGAGTTCGTGTGTTTTGCTTTTTGTACATTTATTAAGTATGATTTCCTTTGAGTCCAAAGAATTACCATGTCTCTTGAATTGAAGCGTGAAATTATTGAAATATATGAGCTTATACTGAAAAAGTTGTAACAGTTCGAGCAGAGTAGTTGTTCAAAAAAATTAATTTCTGATTACTTGATTTATATCTTGAAAAATTATTTTTATTTAACTTAATTTACCATTTTTTATTTTTACATCTTTGTCAGGATAACGGTTTTAGTTGGCTCTTTTTACCTCACCCAAGTATATAAATATAAATATAAATATTATAGAGCCTTTATAGAGCTTATATGAAAAAAAACTGTTGAAGCTAACTTAAAATTAACATAAACAATTAAATAACTAGTCAAGTGCCCGCAACCAAAACAAATAACAACGAAAGCAAATACTTTTGATATGGATTTTCAAGCAATGCCATTTATTTCCTAATAGCAATGTCGCGAAAGAATCAAGATGATGGCTGGTTACACATATTTTTACCTCTGCTTTCAAGTATTTTTGTTAGAAACTTCTTAACTTTGCTGGTTTTTGAGATATCGGTGACCCGCAGATCTTTAAGCCCTGCTATACTCTATATATATATATACACCTAAGTCTGTTTTTACACAGTCTTTTTGTACACGGTTTTGATATAACACGGTTTGAAAATTGAATATTTTGAATTTTTTTATACGATTTTATTCCATTTAGCACGATTTAAAATTTTATGTACTTAAATTTTTTTGTCAAATTTAATTTTTGCGAAGTATGTCATATCACAAAAAAGTATTTATGAAAGAAAAAAGTCTGAAACCATCGATAGTATCGATAGTTTGCGAACACTCGCTTAAAGATTTAAGTGAATTCCCCTTTAGCGCGTACAAACAATTTTTACTTTGATTTTTTTATTATATTTGATTTAATAAAATAAACGTGAATTCTTGTTCTTAAAAATTCTCGTTTTTCACTAATTTTAATAGGTTTTAGAGATTAGGAACAAATCATCCATTTTTGTATAAGATCAATGTCTTTTTTTACACGGTTTTTTTTTACACGGCTTCTTCTGGAACCAATCTCCGTGTAAAAACAGACTTAGGTGTATATATATTTGTGTGTGTGTGTGTGGGTGTGTGTGCATGTGTATATATATTTTCTTCATACCGAAAGACCAATGAGTTAGAAAATGGGTGCTAAAAGAGAAGAACATGAACACAAAATGTACAAGAGGCGCATGCAGTCTCATTGCTTGCCTCAGGCGATCACAATCCAATTATGCTGTTCACAAGTTGCCGCCTTTATAAATGTGGTGCAGTTACAGCACGCAGTGCAACAAAGCAAAGAACCATTGAATCCTTCGCTTTTGCTTGACGTCGAAAAACCGATTTATATTGAGTTTTGTATGTTATTGGCTTTTCTTTTCAAAGAAAGTTTCAACAGTCAAAACTTACTAAGGGGGCGTCCATCAATCACGTGAGGTTTTTAGGGGGAGGGGGGGTTTGACAAAAAATCACGAAATATCACGTGGGGGAGGGAGGGGTATGGCAAGATATCACGTGCATTTATTTTTTTCACTATTTTTTATAAAAAAGTTCAAACATTTAAAAAAAAAATAAAAATTACACAGTTTTTTCACGTAACTAAAAATACACGTGATGTTTGGTGGGGGAGGGGGGGTAATTTTGAATATCACCAAATATCACCAAGGGGGAGAGGAGGTCTAAAAATCCTTAAAAACTCGCTCACGTGATTAATGGATGCCCCCTAAGAAATGGGTCAACGATAAAAAAATACTGATTTTCATTTAAATATTATACATCGCAAAAATGTGTATATCGAAAGTTAAATCTACACATTTAATTTATAAAAGCAGTAATTTTTGTTAGTGTTATTTTTTATTTTAACATATTTATTATATTATTGTGCATAAATAATAAAATTAAAATTACTTGAATGCCTGGATAATAAAAATAAATAGTAAAGACACGTAGTGTAAAAATAATTTCAATTAAGTTTTGAGATCGATTAGAAAATACTATATAATATAGATATATAATATAGGTATATAGATAATTGAATAGTATTCAGTATTTTTAACTTCCCGTAGGGTAAGTTATTGTAATGGGCCGAAAATCGAAATTGAAAATTTTTGCATTTCTCGACGTTTCGAAGGTTTCTGAACATTTTGGCATACCTCAGAAAAAATGAATGTGTGTGTGTGTGTGAGTATGTATGTATGGATACAAATTTCCAGTCACGTTTTCGGGCGCACGGATCAACCGATTTGAATGGTTCAAAAAACATTCAATTCCTATCGATAGGGAAAAGAGCTGATTAGTTTTTGGACAAGGCAGGTCTAGCAGTTTCGGAGATACGGAGCAAAGAGTGCAGAAAATAGAAATCGAGTTTTTGAGAGAACGGAGTATCGGATTTGAATGATCTAAAGAGCATTCAATTTGTAATGGTTGGGAGAAGTGATTGTTAGTTTTTGGCAATGGCAGGCCCAGCCATTTCAAAGATACAGAGCTAAATGTGCAAAAAATGGCAGTTTTTGAGAGAACTAAGCGTCCAATTTAAATGGTTCAAAGAACTTTAGCTTGTTTTAACAAAATAATTGATCTTGAAAAAAAAATCGTATTTTTTTTTTAGTTTTTTAGTATATCGAAAATAATTCAGATTTTATTTTTAATTCTGACTAAATTTCTAATATACTTTAAACGAATAATTTGAACTTTGCAATTCAGTTTATATAAATCTAAATATTAGACAATGTTACAATATTTATAATAATCTATTTGAAAACATTCAGTATTCCTTGAACATTTCGTGACGGTACGGGAAGTTCCAGCAATTTGCCTTAAAGCACGATGCCTTAATTGCTTTGAGACAGAATTCCACTTACAGCTAGTTTAAATTTTAAATTCAAAATGGTCTATAAGAAAAATTGCAAAAATATAAACAGAATCTAATACATTTCAATAATTCGGAAATAAATTAATCAATAAATAAATCTATCCAATTGAATGATATTTTAACGTTTAAAAATAAAACATTAGTTTTAACTATTTTAAATAAAATAGTATTTTAAACAATATAGTTATACATAAAGTTTGAAAGTGTCAATAAATGAAACTCATTCTAAGAGTATATGTCTCGCACAAACTGCATTGAAGAAATTCAATCAGCTTTCCTTACGATATGAAGACGGACGGCGCACATAAACAAAAACGCATTATCACACGTGATTATTTACTATACGCACAACGAGCCCCGAGAAAACGCCCGTTCGCGCTCGTGCGTGCATGAAACAAAACCGATCCAATACTCGAGGCTTTCGATTCATTTTTTTGTAATAAACGCTGCCCATCATCGGGGCCGTATGCTGCATTATGCACTTTTCGCTTTTCACTTTGAAGTAAATACAAAAGTATCGATAAGTATAATTTAAAAACAAACCAATAAAATGAATTATATAAAAATAAATAATGATAATGTTAATATAAACAATAATGAGACTCAATATTATACAAACAACACATTTTGAAATGATATGGAATTTTTTATTTTATATAATGTCTTACTTGAGTGTCATCTGGGACCTTAATTAACTTCCCATAGTATAAGTTGTAGTATGTGTGTGTATGTGCGGATACAAATTTTCGTCGACGATTTCGTGAACACGAATCAATCGATTTAAATAATTAACTAGCTGTAAGTGGAATTCTGTCTTAGGGCAATTAAGGCATCGTGCCTTGAGGCAAGTTGCTGGAACTTCCCGTACCGTAACGAGATGATCGAGGAATATTAAATGTTTTAAAATAGATTATTATAAATATTGTAACATTGTCTAATATTTATAAGAATTATAGAAACTGAATTGCAAAGTTAAAATCACTTGTTTAAAGTATATTAGAACTTTAGTCAGAATTAAAAATAAAATCTGAATTATTTTCGATATACAAAAAATTAAAGTGACTAGTAACGTGACTGGAAATTTGTATCCATACATACATACACATACACACACACATCCATTTTTTCTGAGGTATGCCAAAATGTTCAAAAACCTTCAAAACGTCGAGAAATGTAAAAATTTTTAATTCCGATTTTCGGCCCATTACAATAACTTACCCTACGGGAAGTTAAAAAAATATTCGATACGTATTGATGAGGAGTTGTGCTTATTAGTTTTTAGCAAAAGCAGATCCAGTGATTTCGAAGATACGGGGCAAAAGTGCCAAAAATGATAATTCAATGTTTGAGATAACGGAGCGTCCGATTTGAATGATTCAAAAAATAGTTTATTTGTATTAGCAAAATAAAGAACTGATTAGATCAAATGAAAAAAGAAAAAAAGCCATTTGGCGGACAAAAATGATCATTATACATATGTACATCAAATTATGAGATATTTTATAGAGATTTTAATAATGAGTACAAATTTTGTTTACATTTCTATGGATGCCGTGCCAATGTTTCCTATATTTCGTCTCTACGCAAATAACATATAGTCCAGTCATTTGGTCGTCTTGCCGGTACAGTACTCCGGGAAATCTGAAAATTGGTAATCTTATAGATTTCGAGGTGCTCTTTACGAAAATCAACTTTGCCACCTCAAATTTGACCGGCAAGTTGCCGTCATATTGAAAAAATGGCGTCAAAAAACAGCTTTTTTAAAATATCTCCTTTCTGGCTCAATCTACGATAAAAGTATCTATGTACGAATTAAACTAGAGAAAATTTCCTACAATTCCTTAGAAAACCGTTTTTTTGTAAAATTGATAGTTTGAGAGTACGGCCGCC